GACCTTCATGTTCTTCGTTTTCTCATCACCTTGATATTGTTGCTGCAAAATATCCCAAGCCTCCTTTGCTTTATCACAAGTCATGATTCTTGTGAAAACTGACTCTGAAACGGCTGCAAAAATTATTGATAAAGCTCTTGGAATTTTCGGTTTTTCTTCTTCATGAGCCTTGATCTGAGAAAGTGTCGGATTGTTATCCTAGAGGTGGTAATTCCACCTCATTAGCAATCCACTGCCAAAGACCAAGACCCTTTAAATGAGCTTTCATTTTGACAGCCCAAGTTTGATAGTTTTCACCTTTGAAAATTGGTGGTGGAGGAAATGAAAAACTGTTGGAAGCCATGGTTTTTTTTTTTCTTTCACAGGCTCTCAGGATCAAAAAACTCTGATACCATGTTGGATTTTTTCAGATGAAGAAAAAGAAAGAAAAAAGGAACTCATCGTTAAAGAAGAGAAAAGATAGAAGTATGATAAAAACTAGTTACTTTCTTATTAATGAATAAAATACCAACTATCTTTAAATAGGCTTTACATAATAACCATGAAGAGAAAAAATAGAAATTAAATCCCACCTTAACTGAAACTAAAAAACAAGAAAATCAGGAATAATCTAAACAACTAAATAATTGACAAAATCTACTTTGAATCAATTTCCAAAAAAGAGAGCATTGAGAAGGCAAAGCTAGCATCTCTGCTCCTTAGATAGAAAAAAAAAATTAGAATTAAGATGATGATAGCTGATGCGGCACGGCTTCTTTGGTTATGAATCTCCCTTGGATATAATTATGAGATTAATTATGACAATATTTATCATGATTGGAAAACCAAAACGAATCTCAAAGCATCATAATCGAATCATTAAGACAAATGATAAAGTGGTCTATTTTTGCAATAGACAATCTTGCTCACCAATCAGAAAACACGATAACAAAGTTACAAACAATACTACTTCTATATGGAGACCTTCTCCCGGGCGTTGGAACACAGGAATCGCAGCTTTTGATTCGATAGGATTTGGAGGGCAAAAGGGCGGTGTATAAAGCCTTTTAACCTATAAAATTATTATTTGATTAGGATAAATCGAATCACCGGCCTTAGCTCAGCGGTAGAGCGCGGGGTGTAGAAGGGAACTACTACTAAAAAACCCATGTGTGCGAGTACTAATAAAATCCCCGAGGTCGCAGGTTCAATTCCTGCAGGCCGGATAAAATTATTTTTTCATGGATTATTAGATTAGGTCGCTGTGCGTCTAATCCAAATCCAATCCAGCAACGGACAACCTCCTGTCAAACAGCTATTCATAATGGGTGGTGCTCATATATTCAAATCGCGGCGCGCTAAGCCTCTTAAACTATAAAGTTATGTGAGTATGGTAAATCAAAGAACCGGCCTTAGCTCAGTGGAAGAGCGCGGGGTGTGGTTTGGGCACCACCTTAAAAAACCCTATATGCGATTCAAATCCTCGAGGTCGCAGGTTCAATTCCTGCAGGCCGGAAACTTTTTAATTTTTTCCCCGATTTTGTTAGTTTAGGTCGGTTGTGTGCGTCCGATCCAAATCCAATCCTACAAAGGCAAACCTCCCGTGTCTTACAAATAAGGACACTCCTAGAAAGCGCACCAGTTAATCATTACCGCCGAGATTTTTATCACTGTATTAGAATCAAAATTACATCCAGCGAACCGCTAGGTATGTCGTCTGATGAACTTGAATTGAAACGGAACATTTTATGTTTCAGACGGAGAGCTCCATACATTGTGTCATGAATGATCTAACACTTGTTTGTATCCTTAAAATTAAGGTCCCCATTTTTTTTCCTTGAGCGAAGAATTTACATTCCTGATCGTCCATCTGATCATTTGCCGAATCCAGTGGTCATTACACTTCATGTAGTTCTATCATCATGCTGGTTGTACAGCTGCAAAATCTCCACTCTGTCCCCAAAAAAAAAAAAAGTCTATGTTAAGTTTTTAAATTTGTACTGGATGTGGACTATTTTTTTGAGACAGATGGTGCTTCTTTTATACATTGAATTTGGTGAAAATCAATTCATCAGGGGCATATGTGGTTTATCCATGAATTTAGGTCAGGAAAGTAATCATTTTCCAATCCATTTTTTTTTTTTTTTGAATTTTATGGTTTAATTCCATAAGGCTGAAGTAAAAAGAATCCTTAAAATGAGGAAAGTGGTGTAGTTTTCCCAAATTGTGATTTCACTGTCTGCCACCTTTCCGCAATTCAATATTCTCGAGTGAAATTTCAGCTAAATATGTTCAAGTTCCACCAATTCCATGTCCTTTTTAATCTCTTGAGATATGCTTCAAATTGTGTTTCATTCCAAGTGCTACAAATTCCCAAAGGGCAGCGGGTACATACACAACTTTAAGGATTCAACAATAATGAGTTCTACACCTTCGATTTGCGGCAGGTTTTTACCATCATCAACTGATGAGTTCCGTGAAATGAAATGTATGTGTGGATCGTTCTTTTACTACGTGCGTTTTTAGGTGTTCTTTTCTATTAAAAATATAGAAAAGTGTGTTAAAAATATATAAAAAGATATACCGAAGTAGACATTTATTAATTAAAGATTATATATAAAAAAAAAAAAACAACAAAAAGAGAGTCTCCATAGTTTTCATGGAAATCATGCACAAGATAGTATCCTTTCTAGCAAGAGAAAACAATGTTTCTGGAAAAAGGATCAAGACGTACAATCCCCTCTAAAAATCCAGTCACCTTCTCAGTCCATTGTTCATGAAATATTGTCTTTACAAGATTAGGCTCATTTTCTGCCAAATCATACACTCCCTCCGTCTTAAAATTATTATCTATTTTGGATTTTTACTTTTAATTAACTTAATTTATACTAAAAATAAAAATTCAAACTACACAATAATTTCGGGGACAGGAAGTACATTACACACCATAACTAAGCTGGTAGTCCAGGTTTGCCAGCCCCTTTCGGCTAAATCATGTCAGAAAAAGGTAAATAGAGGGATAAAATGTGATGAAAATGCTAGTCCTTCTTGATCGGATCTTTCTTTTAAAAAAAAAAAAAGAAAAAAAGAAAAAGTGCGGGTTCTTTAGTGAAATGGATTAAAGCTGCTGCGTGTTTTGAATGTTAGAATTAGAATCAAGAAGCTTATTTCTATACGAGCGAAATTTGATTTTATTTTTATTTTTGAAATACAATTGCTGAGTTCAATTTGTTGGAGAATTTTCGCAGCACAAAGTGATGATCTTCTTTTGAGTAAGTTGTTCCAATTCTTATCAAAAAACAATAAAAAAAAAAAATAAATTCTCGATTTTTTTTTGTGGGGGGGGGGGGGGGGAAGGGGATTTTGTTTGTACTACAACAACATTGTAGAGTATTCAGTGTTGTTATATTTTGGATTATTTTTTCCATGTTCAATTTTATACAATTTGCAGAACCAACATTTTACTTGAGAGTTTTCTCATCATTTTACAAACTCTCAACTGTTGATCCTATGGGTAATATAAAAGAGTAACTTTCTTAAATCTTGAAATGATTCGTAATTTCTCCAAAGCAAGAAGAGTACCTTTTTTTTTTTAATGCAATTTGATCAATACAGCTTCTAAACTAAGAAGAAACTGGAAAACTGTTTAGTGAGGGGACCAAAACAAATGGTTTTATCATTTATGATGCTGTGGGAAGTATGAACACAGACCACGTTCTGTGAAGAATATTGAGAGAATAACATTGCTTCCATTTCTCGAATCCATCACCTTAACAAAATCTTTATACACATAATCTAGAAAATGTGAGATTAAAGAAATGACCTGAAAAGGCCCAGAAAAAGAAAAGAAAGGTTTGTCCTTACTTTCACCAACTTCCAGAGACTGGTTTCCATGAAAATGAGTCTTTTAGTCAAAGCCAGCTTTTGATTAGAACTTAGAAGGTGAGATGGATTTGTCAACAAAGTTTATATAAAATAATAATAATCCCAGAATCTGCACAATCTTTTCTTTAAGAATGGGCTAAAAAACACAGACACCAAACAAAGGTCAAAGTTTTGAACCAAGAGAAAAGACACCATCTCTACATTATCAAGTTAACCAATTAGTACGTTTTTAACTTGTCACTAATGCAACCCATTACCGCATTTTGTCCAAAGTTGTTGTGGAGTGGAGCTATATGGAGCCCCCTCCCATTTCATGTTTCAAAAGTCTCTACAGATACCCCACTGCCCATGTTCATAATACCAAAGCAGATGTGAATACTTACAAAAGAATGATTATGGAGGATTTGAATGGTTTTCCCCAAGAAGACATTCTACAACACCAAGTTTTTTTTTATTAATCCGGATTCGAGCAGAATAAATTTACTAAGAGACGCTCATGTCAAGATTCAAATCTTAGTCACAGTAAAATCGTCTAATATATTATTATCATTCGGATTAGGTTTCATTAATCCGCATTAACATTAGTTTTAAAGTTGTTGAAATTATAATTTGTAACTTTGCATGATTGATAATGTATGTAATATAATAATATACATTTGTCAAACACAACCGGGCTCGTGAAGAATGATACTCCCAATAAAATTATGTTATTCCATTGTTCAGACTGAGGGAAGGGAACTCGTGAGTAGTGATTGAAAAAAGATAAACAAAACAGAAGATCTGGTGTCTGCCACATTTGAAATATCACCGCAGACTTTTTGATCAGATTTTGTTAATTCGGATTTCTATCTCTCTCTCTCTCTCTCTCTTTCTTTGTCCAATCTTGTCCGCATGTGGAACCTTTTTCAGATACTATATCCTAAGAACAACAAATCAGTTTTACTCGGCCACTTTCCCTTCTTTTTTGTACTGTTGTCTCTCTCACATTTCCTTCAAAATTGTTCATCTACTCTCCCCTCTCTTCTCCAGCTGAAAGAAAATGGTTTTGGTTCTGGTTTTGATTCGATGACTCGATGTCTTTAACCGCCAAAAATGCTTTTTCACTTCAGGCTTAATACCTCTGAAACTCCATCAAAATGTCGGCTTTTGCTCTTGTTATTCTTTTCTCTGTACTTCTTTCAGGAGCTTTTGCTCTCCAACCCACTTCAGAAATATTCCCAAAATCACAAAGCCGGGTTGGTTTGAGCATAAAGTCCAAGTCTTTGCAGGGATCTCATGTTGTACTTGCTGGAAACAGCACAGTTTTGAGTGCTAACAAGACATTTGAGTTGGGATTTTTCAGCACTGGTTCTGTTGATGACAAAGAAAACTGGTACTTGGGCATTTGGTATGCTTCAATTCCTAACCCGACTTATGTTTGGGTTGCCAATCGAGAAGATCCCATCAAGAATGTGTCTTCTGCAAGCCTTGAAATCACTGAGGATGGGAAGCTAGCTGTGAAAGAAGAAGATTCAGGAACCATTGTTTGGCAAACCAACAATGTGGAGAAAGGTAGAAAAGCTAAGCTCCTGGAGCAAGGAAATTTGGTGCTCTACAATGGTGAAGGTCAGCAAGTGTGGCAAAGCTTTGATTATCCAACTGACACGTGGCTTCCTGGCATGAATTTGACTGCAGAAAAGTGGCTGACTTGTTGGAAGAGCTCCACTGATCCATCTCCAGGGAAGTATTCTCTGATATTGAGGCCTCCGTATTATGGTGAGATTGCCCTTGTGTATATTGATGTTGATAATTCTCCTTATTATTATTGGTCAACTGGGAATTGGACTGGAAATGCATTTGCAGGAGTACCAGAAATGACTGTCCCATACATTTATAATTTTCATTTTGATAATCCTTTTACTGCCATGGCATCTTTTGGTTACAATGAGGTGTCTTTAGAAACTGGTTTGAGTCCTCCTTTAACTAGGTTCTATTTGGACTACGAAGGACTATTGCAGCAGTTCACATGGTCCCCTCAGACAGGATATTGGAATATGTTCTGGTCTCAGCCTGAGAATGTATGTAAAGTTTATGGATTGTGTGGGAATTTTGGGTTCTGTAATGCTAAGTTATTCAAACCATGTAAGTGCTTCAATGGCTTCCGTCCAGTGAATCAGGTTTCCTGGGATGCAGGGGAATTTTCGGGTGGATGTCACCGTGAAGGTCGTGAGCTTTGTCGGAAGAACGATGGATTTGGAGATGCGGGAGTGGTGAGTTATGAGGGGGCAACAGTGTCTTCATTTACTGGGGGTAGGAGTGTGTGTGAAAAGACATGTTTAGGTAATTGTTCATGTATTGGTTTACACCATAATGAGAGGAGTAATTTATGCAAGAACTTGTATGGATCTCTGCTTAACCTCAAAAATCAATCTTCTGATAGCACAATTGAGGAGACACTGTACTTGAGGGTGCCAAGGAGCAGTACTAAGCAGAACACCAGGACTAAACTGGCTCTGATCGAAGCAATATGTGGATGTCTAGCCATTCTTCTTGTAGGATTGCCAATCGTGTTGTTTTTACGCCGCAGAAGAAATAGGAAAAGGAAAGAGGATGAAGAAGGCATTTTTCCTGTGACGAATCTGAGAGTGTTCTCCTACAAAGAGCTTCATGCTGCTACTAGGGGATTCTCAGAAAAGCTTGGCCATGGTGGATTTGGGGCAGTGTTTCAAGGGGAGCTATCTGATTCCACACTAGTTGCTGTGAAGAGACTAGAAAAGCCAGGTGGTGGAGAGAAGGAATTTCGCGCTGAAGTTTGTACAATTGGAAATATTCAGCATGTCAATCTGGTGAGGTTAAGGGGTTTTTGCTCTGAAGATTCTCACAGGCTTCTAGTTTATGATTACATGGCGAATGGTCCTCTCAGCTCGTATTTGAGACGGGATGGTAGGAATCTTAGCTGGGATGTTAGATTTCGAATAGCCATTGGCACGGCAAAAGGGATTGCTTACTTACATGAGGAATGCAGAAATTGTATCATTCATTGTGATATTAAGCCAGAGAACATATTATTAGATGAAGATTTCTCTGCGAAAGTATCAGATTTTGGGTTGGCAAAGCTTGTTGGAAGGGATTTCAGTAGAGTACTAGCTACAATGAGAGGAACATGGGGATATGTTGCACCAGAGTGGATATCTGGTGTAGCAATCACCACAAAAGCAGATGTGTACAGCTATGGCATGACCCTGTTAGAAGTATTAGGGGGACGGCGCAATGTAGAGGGCCCGCCCTCTGCTGGTGGAGGTGTAGGCGGTGGAACAGAGAAATGGTTTTTTCCACCCTGGGCAGCTAGTCAGATAATAGAGGGCAGAATTGCTGCAGTGGTTGATCAGAGACTCGGTAACATATACAACAAAGCAGAAGCACAACGAGCAGGATTAGTCGCTGTTTGGTGTATCCAGGATGATGAATCAATGAGGCCGACAATGGGGATGGTGGTGAAAATGCTGGAAGGAGTAGTTGAAGTGGCAATCCCACCACCACCAAAGCTGCTTCAAGCGTTGGTTTCTGGCGAATCCTTTCAGGGCATAGCTGACAACAATTCAAGCAGCAAAGTGTCGTTGTCACATGATACAGACGATGATGTCAGAATTGATTTAAATTCCAAGGTTTCTCAGTCATCTGTATGATATTTCCTTGATTCATAGGACTAGTTTGTTACGAGAAGCCTCAAGCTTGATGATCAGGTAATTGAATCTTCATTGGCAAGTTTTTGCTTTTGGCCTTATGTAAGATGAGTGTAGAAATTGGATAAAAAACAAATGAGTATTGCTAATTGTATCAATTTACAGATGAAACAGATTTCTTGATGCTCCTTCATATGTTTGGGAAAACTCATCATGAGTTTTAAGGATAGAATATAAAGAATAAGGCTCAAACTGAAACCTCAAAAATAGGCAAAATTCTTGTAATAAGTGTAACTACCACTTGTCAAAGTTTGCTGCATTTTAGCTGGTAAAAATGTAACAAACACATATGTCTAAATTTTGAACAAAAGACATTCTCAAAAACAAAAGTACTACTACATCAAGCTTCTTTTTTCTCCATTTTTTCAAACAGGGTAATCAAATTCAACGCAGAAAAAATAAATTGAAAATGGTCTTTTAAAAAGTGCAAAAATTGATCATACAGCTAATGCAAAAGGAGAGGGAAGCAATAATGGCTCACCCTCCAAGAAATCATCACCATCATCACCTCAGAAACTTGTGGTGCTGGAAATGGAATCACCATTCTTGGATGGTTCCACCACCTCTTCATCCCATGAGGAGGCGGTTGTTCTCCACTCGGCACCCTCCACCGTGTTAGTTAATGGCTGGGAGGAGGGAGGAGATTATCCTCACGTGCGCAGCTTTGAGGATGTGAGAAATCTATGGTACATTGAATCTGGGAAGCTTTGGTCTATAGCAGCACCAATTGCATTCAATATTCTTTGTAATTATGGGATTAATTCATTCACCAACATTTTTGTTGGCCATATTGGGGATGTGGAGCTCTCTGCCATTGCAATTTCCTTATCAGTTATTGCAAACTTCTCGTTTGGTTTCTTGGTAAGTTCTCTTGTCATTACATACCAACTTTTCTTTTCTGGCTTTGAATACCTGCAACGCATTAAGAAAATTGACTGCTTTGTTATACAAATTAATTAAGGGAATGAGGAAATTCTTCATGCTTATTGTTCTAATCTTATTCCTGACTTAAATATAAGACCTACACAATTGTTTAAAGTAAAACCATCAGTAGTGAAAGATCAGTATTGGCTTTATATGTACAGAGAGAAAAAAGAGCCCATCAAAATTAAGATTTGCAAATGCTGCTTATATTTTTTCATTTCACAAATCTTGTATCTTCTTTGCATATTACAGCTTGGGATGAGTAGTGCTCTTGAAACATTATGTGGACAGGCATTTGGGGCTGGCCAAGTAGATATGCTTGGTGTTTACATGCAAAGATCATGGATAATCCTAACAGTTGCATGCATAAGTCTAATGCCACTTTACATCTATGCAACACCAGTACTAAAGCTATTAGGCCAAAGGGGTGACATAGCAGATATGGCAGGAAGGTTTTCGATCCAAATTATACCCCAAATGTTCTCTTTAGCCATCAATTTTTCAACACAAAAGTTCTTACAAGCACAAAGCAAAGTAGGAATTCTAGCTTGGGTCGGATTTGTGGCTCTGGTATTACACATAGGGGTGCTTTTTCTCTTCGTTAGTGTGTTTAAATGGGGAACGGCGGGTGCTGCTGCAGCTTACGACATTTCTGGTTGGATCATTTCTCTAGCTCAGGTTGTGTATATTCTTGGTTGGTGTAAAGATGCATGGAAGGGATTCTCCTGGTTGGCCTTCAAAGACATTTGGTCTTTTGTAAAGCTTTCAGTAGCTTCAGCAGTGATGCTCTGCCTTGAAATTTGGTACTTCATGAGCATTATTGTTCTCACCGGACACCTTGAAGATCCTGTTATTGCAGTTGGCTCCCTTTCCATATGGTAAGTATTTTTAGCCAGTAAACCTTTTGGCGCACTAATAATAACTATTTTGAACTTTTTAAATTAGTCACTTCTAATCATCGTATCTTAAAGGACAACAAATCATTGATAGGGGAAAAAAAATAGTACACCTTACTGCTTAAGGAGTTAAGGCTTGTTCCTTGAAGTATTAACTTCCTGATGTGTTTTTTCGTTTTAGTATGAACTTGAATGGATGGGAAGGCATGCTTTTCATAGGAATCAATGCAGCAATCAGGTATGAATTTTCCTCGTAAAGTTTATGTATAATTCACTCTTTTCTTTATACGAGCAATGATACAGTAAAACCATAATCGCACGCCACCAAAAAAAAAAAAAAAAAAACTCTTGTTTAGTATGATCGATGATCTGTTCTTTTTTCGACGTGACCATGAACGGCCTAAAAGTAAAAAGACACTGAATTTTCCTTGGAATTTTTTTGCAGTGTTAGAGTGTCTAATGAGCTGGGGTCAGGACATCCAAGGGCAGCAAAATATTCAGTTTTTGTGACTGTTTTCCAATCAATGGTAATTGGGATTTTGAGCATGTTTGCCATAATGGCAACCAAGAACCATTTTGCCGTATTGTTCACAAACAGTGAGAAAATGCAGAAAGCTGTGGCTGATTTAGCTTATTTGCTAGCTGCCACCTTAGTCCTAAACAGTATCCAACCAGTCATATCAGGTGCCAAAATTTAGACTAAAATTCCCTCAATCTCAGAACAAATAAGCATATTTTTTTGCACTAAAGTTTTTCGATAAACATGATTCTTTCTTTGGGACGTACAGAGTAATTAGAGAGAATTGTGTAAGAAGAAATTAAATGATGGTTGTGTGCAGGGGTTGCTGTTGGAGGAGGCTGGCAAGGACTTGTGGCTTACATCAATTTGGCTTGCTATTATGTTATTGGGCTTCCTCTTGGATTCTTGTTGGGCTATAAAGCAAAATTAGGTGTTCAGGTAAGGGCTTGTTTATTTTGGGTCATCAATTTTTGTTCTTGGTGGCGACAAACCAGAAAGTCAGAAATTTCTCGACCACATTTGGTTGCAGGGAATATGGATGGGAATGATATTTGGGACATTTTTACAAACGTTAATACTATGTTACATTGTGTGGAAAACCAATTGGAATGACGAGGTAATTTTATTATTCTCAATTCATTGTTTTGTGATGATTTTTTATGACGAAGATAACAATATTTAGCTCTTTCCGTCCTAAAAAAGAAAAAAGAGTTCATATTATCGAACTAAAACAGTATAATTAAATGAGATTTTTATAGTGCGAACTCAGTATTACCATTTTAGTTAATCTTTTGAGAGGGCTTACAAAATTCATACTTTCTTTTTTCACTTGATGAATATTTCGCAGGTTGCTCAAGCATCAGAACGGATGCGAGAGTGGGGTGGTTCAAACGAAGAACGTGGATTACATTGACAATTTGGCTTCTTTTCCTTTTTTTTTTTTTAACTTTCATTAGGTTTTTCCTTTTCTTTTTTTTTTCCCTTCGTGTTTCTACCTAGATACATTTTCATACTTTGTTTAAACAAAAATTCTTTAAATTCTCCTAGTTTTTCTTTTTAATACTATTTGATATCGCACTTCTGCTCTTACAATCAATTTACTTTTTTTTCTTTTTTTTTTTTTACAATAAACACTTACAAAGAAATATCTAAGAGGTTAAAGAACGTCTTACACTCCAACATATATAAAATTATATAAGTAACGAAACACGCATGTGAAGATAAAACAATATGTGATTTTGACGTTAATCAAGATGGTATTAGACGGATATTTGATAATAATAAATTAAAATTACAAAATGACTAATATAAAATTTATATATCAGCTAAATTGTTATGAACGTATATTCTAGTGATATCAGTGTATGTCTTAAAAACAGCTTGAAACTTGTCACTTTCAAAATTATCATTCTCAATAAACATATGCATTATTTTTAAAAAAATCAATTGAGAAAGATATCCAAAAAAGAACCTAAAAAGAAAAAAGAAAAAACGCAAAAAGCAGCGAATAGAAGGATAAGAAGAATCGGTGGTGTTGCTTCTTTTCTCCAAATTATCAAAAACTAGCACTTTAGCTTTAATTTTTTCATGGCCAAAAGATTAACATTAACAATTATTATCATATGACTCTCTCTGTCCCAAAAAAAAATCTATATTTTATTTAAAAATTTGTACTAAAAATAGTAGAAATTTAAAACTCAATATGGATTTTTTTTTTTTAGACAAAGATCATAATGCATAAGAGAAAAGACAGAAGAAAAGTGATACCATGTGAATAAATATTGTAATTTAATAATCAATACATGTGATGATAACTCATGACCAGCTCAATCAAGTTATTTTGTTTATTTTTTCAAAAGAAAAATTAAAGTGTTTGGAAGTTTTAATAATTGTAATAAAATTGAAAGCATTACTTATTTTGTAATAATAAAATATAACTCCTAATAAAAATAACTAGCTTTATCACATAAATTTCTTTTTGTGAGATATATATCTATAAATATGATTTACTATATTATAATAGAAATAAGATATGCAAACTTGCAAAGGGAAAAAAAAAACAATAGCCTTCTTTATCTATGAAAGAATATGAAATTATCTCTAAGAAAAAAATTTTGGTTTCTTTCTTTTGTCGTATAAGCGATATGACAAAAGAGATACAATTACAAATACATAATTCAATTACAACAACCTACAATTAAATAATGACAATTATCATTTGTGCAATTGAAATGGATGCATAGATCTTCCTATGTTAAGCTAAATTGGCTAACTTGCCACAATTTTACTAATTACGCGGAAAAGAGATACTACGACAAAAAGAATACAGAGAGAATCCTATTAAACAGAAACTCTAAGTATGAATGCGACATACATTCCAAAACTGACATTGGGATATTAAATTTTTATAACGGTTATAAGACTAAGACCCGCAACAGATCCATTCTTTGCTGGCCTTCGAATCACATTTTTCTTCATGTTCTTCATTTGGATCTTCTTCATTTTACTATAGGCACATTTTTTAGTTTTTATTTCTTTTTTTCCCTTGTGTTAACTACGATACCATTGAACAGATAAGCAAACACATATAATCAATTCATCATATCAAATGAATTCACTTTGACATCAACCTAAAAAAAAGGGGTAAAATTATGATACATGAGGTGAGAAATTACTCTGAAAATGAATAATAATTGATGAAAAGACAAAATTTCTCATCTTTGAGAAAATTACCATAGATCGAGTTTTGAATCGCACTATAAGGAATAACCTTAAATTTTTTTAGTCACCTAGTTTATTTGTCAATATGTCTATAATTCAGTAAGCGGGACTAATCACTATGATCCACAGTGTACACCCTGTAAATAAAAAAAAATGACAATTTTATAATTATGCCCGTGTCATATAAGTCACTGTCATCATTTCATTATAGAGTGGTGATACTTGTTATAAGAAAATTTAAAGGGAATGACGTGGCTGAATTTTAACTATCCACTAACCCTTAACTGAATAAAGTTTTCAAGTTAAGGTGTAAGTATGGACAACTATGATTCACTCCCTGAAATTTTTCCTATATAAATCATTATCCTTCATTGTATATTTTCAATGAATATATATCACTCTCCTTGAAGAAAATATAGGCGATATGACAAAAGAGATACAATTACAAATACATAATTTAATTACAACAACCTATAATTATATAATTACAATTACCATTTGTGCAATTGAAATGGATCCATAGATCTTCCTGTGCTAAGCTAAATTGGCTAATTTGCCATAATTTTACTAATTACGTGGAAAAGAAATACTACGACAAAAAGAATACAGAGAGAATCCTATTAAACAGAAACTCTAAGTACGAATGCGATATACATTCCAAAACTGACACTAGGATATTAAATTTTTATAACGGTTATAAGACTTAGACCCGTAACGGATCCATTCTTTGCTGACCTTCGAATCACATTTTTCTTCATGTTCTTCATTTGGATCTTCTTCATTTTACGATAGGCACATTTTTTAGTTTTTATTTCTTTTTTTCCCTTTGTTAACTACAATACCATTGAACAGATACGCAAACACATATAATCAATTCATCATATCAAATGAATTCACTTTGACATCAACCCAAAAAAAGGGGTAAAATTATGATACATGAGGTGAGAAATTACTCTGAAAATGAATAATAATTGATGAAAAGATAAAATTTCTCATCTTTGAGAAAATTACCATAGATCGAGTTTTGAATCGGACTATAAGGAATAACCTTAAATTTTTTTAGTCACCTAGTCTATTTGTGAATGTGTCTATAATTCATTAAGCGGGACTAATCACTATGATCCACACCCTGTAAATAAAAAAAAAATTACAATTTTATAATTATGCCCGCGTCATATAAGTCACGGTCATCATTTCATTATAGAGTGGTGATACATGTGATAAGAAAATTTAAAGGAAATGACGTGGCTGAATTTTAACCATCCACTAACCCTTAAATGAATAAAGTTTTCAAGGTAAGGTGTAAGTATGGGACTATGATTCACTCTTTGAAATTTTTCCTATATAAATCATTATCCTTCATTGTATATTTTCAATGAATATATATCACTTTCCTCGAAGAAAATATAGTTTCATTGAGTATTTTGGGTGAAAATTTCACTAATGAATAATGCACAATGTTGTGGAGATAAAACTATTACCATTATAAATAAAAACTTACTATTTGTTCATTACTTAAATTTAGAGAACTAAAAATAATAGCCTTTCGCACATTCATCAAAAGTTATACGATGATTTCATGAATTAATCTATAAATCCACAAACTAGGGCATTAACCGATTATGTTATGAAGCAGTAACTGAAAATTCAATTTTTCTATAATTAAAACTTACACAATGCATGGATGAATCGTGTCCAGTTTACACCTAATTAAAAAAAAATCACGATTTTTTTTCAATTTCGATGTGTCAAGGTATCAAACCTTTAGTTTTTATTAGATTGTCCCAAACGAGATTTGAATAGTGGATCTCGTGGTTATGGTCTGCTTGAGTTTGTCATACCTAAGTCTTTAAATTAAAAATGCTAGTAGGCATTCAAAGCAACAAAAATGTCAAAAGAAATATATATATATATATATATACACATATAATATTAATATATAATTTCACCATTTCGTTGTTCTTAAAACTTATCTCTATGGCCAAATCCATAAATATGCAGGAAATTCCCATTCCATTTATACGGATTTCGATTCCTAAACTTTTAAAAGACCTATTTAAAAGATTACTAATAAAAAGAATTAGGACATAATACCTTAATACTTTCTTCCCCCAGAAAAATAATTAATTTTATTTATTTGTTTGGAGAATATTTTGTAGGACGAAGAAAATATATTCTTACTAATAAACGAGTTATTTCATTTTATTAAGTTTCATTCCAATAATGACATGTGGAAGATTGTAATACGTGAGCATATATCATCTATAAAAATTCATGGTATCATTTTTAAAATAAAAATAATAATTTTTTAAAAAACAATCCTATCCTTAAAGTTTAGCTAGAATGCAGAATGAACACAGTTTCTTTTTTCTTTTTCTTTTTTTTTCTTTTTGGATCTAGATTGAATTTTATTTTTAAATATTAAAAGTTTCAACAAGATTTTTGTAAAGAAAAGATATTATATATATGTATGTATAATAGTTTTATGAATAAGAACAATAATTTACACTTGAAAATTCATGTAAAAAGAGTATAAAAAATATGTAAACTGAATCACAGCCCTCCATTTTTTACACAATATATCCATGATTTACCTATTTGATGTTAGGTTAGTTGGATAATTAAGATCCAACCACATTTTATTACTTGTAAGTTTTCTTCGTAAATAATCATCACGTTTAAAAATAAATCCTGTATCTCGATATTTAAATATCGTTCAACAAGTGCTGATTATATCGACCCACTTTTAAAAGAAACCAAGTATGGTTCATTTAATCATCCCAGATGTATAGAAATTATAAATATCAAAGAGATACAATTATAAATATATAATTCAATTACAACAACCCAAATTAAATAATTACAATTACCATATGCGCAATTGAAATGGGTGCATAAATCTTAAGTTAAGCTAAATTGACTAATTTGTCAGAATTTCACTAATTACATATAAAAGAGATACCACGATAAGGAAAAAGAACACATAGAGAATCACGCTAAACGGAAACTTCAATTATGAATATGACGTGCATTCCAAAACTGACAGTAGGATATTAGATTTTTATAACGGTTATAAGACTTAGATATGTAACGGATCTATTCTTTGCTGACCTTCGAATCACATTTTTCTTCATTGTCTTCATTTGGATCTTTTTCGTTTTACTATTTGTTGACGTAATATGTAATATAGGCACAATTTTTTTTTCTTTTTACCCTTGTGTAAGTATGGACGGTCATAATTCATTCCCAGAAAATTTTCCTGCACAAATCATTAACCTTAATATATATCACTTTCTTTGAAGAAAATATAGTTTCAGTATTTTGGGTGAAAATTTCACTAAGTAATAATTCACAATGTTTTGGAGATAAAACTATTACCATAAAAATCAAAACTTACTATCGCTTCATTACTTAAATTTGAGAACTAAAATAAATACCTTATAACTAAAGCACGGAAGCTCAATAAAGGATATACATATGAAGATTTCATGAATGAATCTAAATCCACAAATTAGGGCATTAACTGATTATGTTATGAAGCAATAACTTAAAATTCAATTTTTCTATAATGCTTTTTTATTTATTGAAAGTTGTCACTAAAGACACGTGATAACTCATCATATAATAATTTTCCGCCTAAAATACAAAACTACTAAGATGGTTTAGTTTGTAAACTTCAGACAAAGAATATTAAAAATATATACTTCCTCCGTCCCATAATTATTGTCCACTTCGCACAAAAAATTTTGTCCCAAAATTATTGTTCAATTTAACTTTTTATGGATCAAGTTACACATTTGTCCTTAGTAAAAAACATTATCCATAAAATCTTAGTGGTGAAACAATTACTTATGTAGGGGTATATTCGGTTGTTTAAGGTAAAATATAGTAAAATTTGACCAAAAATAAAATTTTTTATTTTAGTAAAAGCGGACAATAATTATGGGACGGAGGGAGTATTTACTAATCCCTAAAATATTAAGTATCATATGTTTTTATTCCAACAGTAACTGCAGGTTCAATGTCACATTTATTTCGAAATTCAAATGAACTAAATCTCTTAAATTAAGATTATAATCATGCAAATTCCGCACGGTATATAATCATTTTCTTAATAAAAAACATGTTTAGACCAATGCCTTGGCATCGGCCGGAGCTGAGTCACTAGTTAAAACTTAACACAATGCATGGATGAATCGTGGCCAGAACTTGAATAAGAAGACTTTTATAAAATAATTCATAGTATTATTATTTATTTTGCTTCTTTTGCAGTTTGTCATTCTTACACTTTTTTTTTTTTTTCTCTTTGACATACTCCCATTTCTTCTACTTTTGAAAAAAATTACAGCAAAAAAGACACGTCTTCAAGCTTTACACCTCGATTTTTTTTTTTTTTTTCCAATTTCGATGTATCAAAGGATCAAACCCAAAGTGACACCTTTAGTTTTTATTAGATTGTTCCAAACGAAATTTGAATAGATCTCGTGGTTTTGGTCTGCTTGAGTTTGTCATACCTAACTCTTTAAATTAAAATTCTAGTGGGCATTCAAAGCAACAAAAATATCAAAAAAAAAAAAAATGCAGGAAATATATATTACCATTTCTTTGTTCTTAAAACTTATCTCTGTGGCCTAATTCATAAATATGCAGGAAATTCTTATTTTAGTTATATGGAATTTGATTCCTAAATTTTTAAAAGACCTATTTAAAAGATTACTAATAAAATTAAAACATAATACCTTAACTTTCTTCATCCCAGAAAAATAATTTATTTTATTTATCTGTTCTAGTTTAGCAAAAATGGGCGATGTTTTGTGGGATGGAGGAAATATGTTTTACTAATAAACGAGTTATCTTGTTTTGTTAAATTTCATTTTAATAATGACTTGTGGAATATTGTACTATGTAACAAATATCATCTATATATTGATGGTATCATCATTTTTAAAATAATAACAATCTTTTTTTTTTTAAAAAAAAATCCTATCCTAAAAGATTGGCGAGAATGCAGAATGAACAACATTTCTTATATGTTTTGGATCTGGATTGAATTTTAGTTTTTAAATATAAAAAGTTTCACCAATATTTTTGTAAAAAAAAAAGATATTATATGTATATAATTTCATGAATAAGAAGAACAATAATATCACACTGGAAAATTCATGAAAAAAAGAGTATAAAGAATATGTAGAATGAATCATAGCCGTCCATGTTTATACCTTATCCCCATGATTTATCTATTTGATGTTAGGTTGGTTAGATAATTAAGATCCACTCAGCATTTTATTACTTGTAAGTTTTTTTCGTAAATAATCTTTACGTTTAAAATAAATTGTGTTTCTCGATATTTAAATATCGTTCTACAGATGATGGTTATACGACCCACTTTTAAAAGAAACCAAGCATGGTTTATTTAACCATCCCAAATTTATAGAAATTGATGAAAAGACAATTTCATCCTCTAGATACAAAAGCAATTGTCTAACCAAAAAAAACAAAAATTATCCCCAATATGGTGATATACTTTGCCATCCAACCCTACATAAACTCATCACCTTAGTTTAATTAACCACACCAAAAAGCCAATAGGTTTTTTCACCTATAAATTAGTCCTTTCCTCCATTCTTTGTCTTTGACAACCCTTAGAAAACCAACACAAATCTTATACCCCCTTTTTATTCATTTTCTCCTACGATTTGGAGTCTCACACATCTCTCTCCCAAAATCCCAAATCCCAAATCTCAAAAACAACCCATCATCCCCTAAAAACTTTCCTACCCTATATTTCTACTTCTTTTTAATAACCCACAAAATCAAAACCCTAAATCTAGGGTGTGGGAATAGAAAAGAAGAGAAAAGAAAAGAAAAGGAATAAGAAAAGAAAGAGAAAAAAAATCCATTCTTTAAAAAGCCCTCTTCTTTGCCTTCCAAGTTCCAAATAGAAATTGACCAAAACAAAAATCCAGTCTTTACTCAAACCAATATTCTCAGGGTCCCTTCTTCCATTTGGTCTAACACTTTCTCCTCAGCAAAAAGAAATACACAAATACAAAAACAGACCAAACCAAATCAAAGCTAATTCAATTCGTCAAATTAAACAGGTATGTCCTTTTCTTTTCTCTTACCCCAATACCCCTAAACTACTCCTACTCATAGCAATAGAATTATACCAGAAAATTTTTATTATCATCTTTGGTTTTTCTTTTCTCTATTTTTCTTTTTGGGAATTTTCGTTTTCAATTTTTCTTTTTTTCCTTTCTGTCAATTGGGTTTTTGCTAGAGAAGGGCCTGTTAAGGAAAAAAACCCAACCTTTGGTTCCTCTGGCTCGTCTCCCTCCCTGTAGCCACTCTCTCTCTAACGTAGAGAGAGAAAAGAGCGGCACTTGAATTTATGGGCTCCTAAATTTTCTCTATTGGAAAACTCAGATTAAAAACTTCCCGCCTAAACCAAGAAGAAAACTTCCATCTTCTATGGTGCCCATTGATTTAGGTTGCTAGTTTTGAGGACCAAAAACCCATTTGTTTCTAGTTTTTTCTTTTTTTTCCCACGCACAAACACTCAGTACACTCGTACTTTCTGAAACTCTGTTGATTTTTTCTGTGTTTTAATCACTTGAAATGGTGTTTTATGCGTAGTGTGGTGTGGGTATCATCGATGTGTCGAATGCTTTGCTTTTTTTGGGTTTGAATTCAGAAATTAATGGCAGGCTGGTTGAAAAGAGTTGATGGGTCTCGTCCAGAGAGCTTTGAAGTTCACCCAAACGTAGAAGTAAGGAAACCCTTATCGGATCAAGACCCAGTTGAAGCGGAAGATGATTTTTACAGCCAAAAGCTCAAATCTTTGTTTGATGAGGTTTTGGCTGTATTCCTTGAGGCATTTCGCGGTGCTTGCTTTTTCAGGCCAATGCCACCGGTAATTGGTGAGGGTGAATCAGTAGATTTGTTGAAACTGTATCTGAAAGTTAAAGAAAGAGGTGGGTTTGAAAAGGTTTCGGAAACTGGACAATGGGATTGTGTAGCTAGGGAATGCGGGTTTGATTCTGTTGTTGGTTCGTCTTTGAAGTTGGTGTATGTTCAGTACTTGGGTTTATTGAGTAGGTATCTGGAGAAGGTTATTCTCAAGGAAAAGGATCTTAACAACAGAGGGATAGAAGAACAGAGTAGTTCAGGGCTTTTGTGTAGGTTACTGATGGATGTAGAGTCTGATTTGAAGGGACGTTTTTCTGGAATTTCCCATAAGAAAGAAAAAGATGTGGAGCTTCTGGATGTGATCAAAACTGAATTAGGATTTGGAATGGATGGTAAGTTGCACGGGTTAAATGACCATGGAGGCTTTGTAAAATTGACTGGAGGTACTGACATTTTAGAGAAAAAGGGTTTCGTTCAGGAAGCTGAAAAGGGTAGAGATGAGGATATTTCTAAAGGAGAGGGAGGTACTGATGTTGGAGACCTACATTTTGTAATTGACATTGGTCAAGTAAAAAGAGATGATGATGCTGTTACAGCAGTAGATTCTATTGGTGGCACCGAAGATGGTTTTGGCAGAAAGAGGAAACCAGAAAATTCATGCAGAATGCTAGATTGGATTCATAATGTTGCCATGGATCCTTGTAACCCAGCGATTGGTTCGATGCCAGATAGTTCAAAGTGGAAATACTATGCAAGTGATTTAGTCTGGAAGCAGGTTTTGCTGGCTCGGGAGGCAATGCTGTCAAAAAGAAAGAACGAGTCAAGTGATCATCAAGCAACTTTGCAGGTACCATATTTAACTAACGCTTTATTATATATTGATGGTTTAGGGAACCCAAGATTGTTAATTCAGAACTGGAATTATGCCTAAGTGTTATTAAACATGCCTTAAATTATAAAGCTTCGGCTCTTTGTGTTGATGAATGCCAAGCTGGTTTCCTATCTTTCCTTTAATAGATATCTTTTTTTTTTAAACCATAAACATGAAACATTAAAAATTTCATTTCACCAATGTTGGAATTTGAACTGTAACTATTGCTATTATAGCCAACATTCAGTGGTTTGCGGTTTATATTCTTCATTTAATTTCCTTTTCAATCTGTTCTTTCATGAAGTTCGTTTTGTGAATAATTATGCTTTTTGGTGTTAGATGCTTCTTTCATTCGAAAGTGAATGCCTTTCTTTGTTATTGCTCAAATCTAATTTAATGTTTTCTTTTCCAAATTTAGTGAGTTCATGAAGGTGAGATGATTGTTTACTTAATAGACTGTTATGTGCAAATTGAATTTCATTCTAGATGTTTGCTTTTGTATCTGTACATGGATGTAGAGGATTTGAGTGGGGACTTATGCTACCTTATTCATAACAAGCGGGTGACAATTGAATACATATTCTGATCGGTTCACACTTCTATATTAACCAATGTTGTTTGTTCTTTACGGTGCAAGATAATCTATTCAATATGAAGTATATGTCACTCCTTATGCAAAAGTGGGAATTGTGGAAACCTATGATGTTATAAGAATTATTTGTTTTTTTCGGTTCTCAGATCCTTAGGACAGTTTGCAATTGTGTTGTGATTTGATCAGGCAATAATATCGACTTAATGCAACATAGTCTTCAGCCAACTTCACTTTATTTAAGCTTAAATTATCTGCTATTAACATTCTTTATTGGCTTGTCCGTGGCACTCAAATTTGTGCAGGAGCTTGTTTAGAAAATATCTGTATTCCTGCACATCTGATTCATATATGGAATTTTATTCAACAATGGCCAATTTTACGTTCCTGAACCTATTGTCTCCTACATGGTTCCTTCTGGTTCCTTTAGTCCTTGGAACCAGACTAAATTCCACAACCAGGGCGGTCCAGTTCTGGAACTGTGTCGGTGTTTAATCGTAATAATGAACATGAGTTGTCAAGTTATTGAATACTAAGATACTCCGAGTAATAAATAATTGTCGGTGAGTCTTTTGACCAGATTGTGATAAAAGAAAAGATGTGCATTGAGATTACAGTCACTGCGGATTACAAAACTTTAGGTAGACAAAAAGATCTTTTCAGTTCGAGTTTTGATTGGATTCTTAAAATGAAAGGCAGGAAATTCAAGCTTCAGAACAAGGTTGAAGTTTATGATCTTTCACTTTGAATAGTTTGAACTGCTTTACATACCTGCAGGTTTTGTGGTTGTTAATGGGAAACATTCATGCATGTCCTTTTCCCTTGTAAGTGATCTGATGTAGATTTGTAGGTAATGATATTTGAGATTGTTGAGTTCTGCCCAGGATAAAGTCATCAATTGGTTTTGAATCTGAGGCTGTGTTAAATTCTGAGTCTCACTCGAATGATGATTTTCTAGTAACTCCTTTTTGTATATTTAATAACTTCTTTCTTGGGCCAATTATGTATACTTCTGTTGGCAGAGTGACCTTCCATTTAAGTCATGAAGCAATAACCAAGGGATGAATGTTTTCACCCTTTTCATGGCTTCTTTTTGGGCCATCATAATTAACTTGCTCCGGACTTGCTTGCTCTGATTGAATATCCTGTTGAAAGTCTTCTTGGTCCATTTAAACAGAAACTTAAAAGGATTAGCATCTGATTGATGTAAGAGGAACAGAAGCATTAGTTAGCTACCTGCTATCTAGTAGCGTCGGGCACATAGTATTGAATTTGAGAGTTCGTACATTTCTTATTTAATACCTATACTGTTAATTTTTGCTACTTGCACGTGACACCTCTGTTTTGTTTGTTAATATTCTGGATTTTGAGCTTCATAAAGTATCCTTTTCCTGTTACGATGGCTTGTTCAATTTGCTGATGCCAGTAAATGGATACACCAAGTAGTTTTGCAACAATTAATCTCTAGTGTGCTTTTTGGGGTCAGTTACATGGATGCATCTCACCCTTGTGTTGCACTTAAACAAATAGGTTCATTGAAGTTTATGTATCTTATATCCTATGTCCTTTTTTGTATATCGTGCCGAGCATTTTGGGTCTTTTTGGCTTTTCTTTTTCTCTTTGGTTTGAGTTGATAATTTTTTTAATTCTAAATCTCATTTCAAGCTCTCCTATGCATTTGTCCAAAGTGCTGAATTGTTAAATCTCAAAGTTTCATTTATAGGGTTGACCCTTTACCTTTCTGATCCATTTATTACTTGTTATTGTCTAATATTATATGTCAATAATTCTATCTCACCATCACCATTATGCAGAAAAAGCAAAAGATGCATCCAACCATGTATGATGATCAATGTGAGAAGCCGAGATTCAGCAAGAGGATACTTGAAGCCAAGGCTCCTTCGAGAAAAACAAAAGCTCGGACGTATGTTGAGACATCTTCCTCCGGCACTTTGAGTGATGATGATCTTGCTGGGTCACAGTCTGATTCCTCTTGGGAAGCAGATCCAAAGTTTGTCGGTGGAAGTCGTCGTCGAGAGAAGCGAGTTCCTATTGGAAGCAGCTTCCAAGCTGATATTCCAGAATGGACTGGGAAGGCTTCTTCTGAAAATAGTGATTCCAAGTGGTTAGGTACCAGATTGTGGCCGCTTGATAAAGCAGAACAAACAAGAAACTTAATTGAACGAGAACGTATTGGGAAAGGAAGGCAGGATTCTTGCGGTTGCCAATTTCCAGTTTCCTTGGAATGCATCCGGTTTCATATATCTGAGAAAAGGGCGAGATTGAAACTTGAGTTGGGACTAGCCTTTTACAGTTCGAGAATTGACCAAATGGGGGAAGAATTTGCATCCTCGTGGACGAAGGAAGACGAAAAGAAATTCCACAATATAGTGGAAACAAACCCATCATATCTTGGCAAGTTTTTCTGGCAGGAAATTGTCAAATCTTTTCCTAACAAAAGTAGTAAAACATTGGTTAGCTACTATTACAATGTGTACCTTCTCCGGCGCAGAGGTCAGCAAAACAGGATTGCACCTCATGATATCAACAGTGATGACGACGAGTCGGGTCCCAGGTACAATACAGCTATCTCCCCTGGTTCCATCTTTTGTTCCCCTAAGAAGCCAGCATGAATGTCCAGTAGGCTAGAAAGGAATATTGGTATAGAGGCACAGTGGTATTTTGTTCAAAAGATGTATAGTGCAGAAAGTTCCTTTTACGGGTTGATTCAATTTGTTCAGCTAGTTAGTCTGAATCTTTTTTTACTCCGGGAAGAGTTTTGTACTCTTCAATATAGGAATGTAGGATTTCATGGAAGGACCATGGGCGCAGGGAACGTCTACCTACCTTTTGTGGTGAAACATACAGTCAAATCAAAACTCGAAATTTTTTTTATGTTTAAATTCTTCTGTTTGTTGATTTTTTCTCTTAAGTAGTGTTGCTAGTTACTATATATAATGAAAAATTATTGACGTTCCTTATAATTGATTGGTGATGGTCATTCATGGATTCTTAGCTTACATTTCTATTGTGATTTGTGACCTGAACAAGACGGAGACTCATGAATCATAAAATCAACTCTAGGTTGTGGAAAAAAACACTTTGATCAACTGCCTAATATTTTCATCAGCATATATATATACTAGTGATGTCTGGTCGCGCAATGCGCGACCCTGGCCCAGTCTATCTGTAGATCTTAGAAATGTTTATATTTGAAAAAAATAAAATTTTGTGTTTGGAGCGATATATTTTAGAAATTTTTGAAGGATTTAGAAATGTTTTATAAGTGTGATCATAGAAATATTTGTATTTCGCAAAAAAAAAAAAAAATTGTATTTCGCCATGTATGTTTTAGGAATGTTTTATAAGTGTTACTTATTAAATATAAATAGCTTAATCGAATATATGTGTTGAAGTAAATGTTAGATAAAATATAAAAGCATCCTAATAAATTTAAATATTAGTAAGATGATTTATTGATGTTCTCCATTGGTCGTGCCAAATCAATACTTAGTTTTGGAGATTTTTAATAACTTTGTAATAAGCTTCATCCGAAGGGTATACGCTTAAAACAAAATTGACACTTTGTAACAAAAAACCTAATTGATCAATTCAATTTAAAAAACCACTCTAGTTGAATGAAACATAAAGAAAAAATTAAAAAAAAAACGTGTCAGGTAAAGTGCAAAGGGAGATTTAGTAATTTAGTTATGCTTAGACAAAAGGGCAATTTAGTATTTTCTACATGCCACGTGGCAATCATATGAGGTGTTTGAAAGGGAGGTTTTTGTTCCTAATATAGTAGGATATAGGGAGTTCTCCATTCTTACACTTGAATTTTGAATGTACATAACTTTTTCATCTTTTATCATTAATTTTCACTTTGAAAAATTTCAAGTTTCTTTCTCTTTTAACTCTTTCATATTCTCTTTAGTTATATTCAATCCATTCATTTCACTTTAATTTTGGTGGTATCTTCAACCTATATGAACTATTTTTTCATTTTCTCTTTTATTAATTTTCACTTTAAAAAAATTTCATCTTTTTTTTGAAAAAAAAAATCTTCCAACCCTCTCATATTTTCCAAAATTATATTCAATTAATTATTTCATTAAAAAATTGATTCTATCTCCCATCTTCTCACCTTTTCATCTTTTCCACTACTATTTTTTATTATTCCCCGCATATATTAACTATCTTTTCATCTTCTATCATTAAATTTCACTTTAAAAAACTCAGGTTTCTTTCTCTTTTAACTCTTTCATCTTATATGTTATTATATTCAATCCATTCATTGCACTTTAATTTCGGTGATATCTTCAATCTACATGAACTATTTTTTCATTTTCTCTTATTAATTTTTCACTTTGAAAAAATTTCAATTTTTTTTTACCTCTCATCTTCTCCGTCATTATATCCAATTAATTATTTTCATAAAAAACTGATTCTATCTTCTATTTTCTCACTTTTTCATCTTCTCCACTATTATTTTTAATTAATTATGTTTATTATATGTAACCATTTCATTTCGGTTTCATATAAGTATAAAAAAATACAAGAGTCCATCTACCTTTTTGCTTCTCCTGTCCTTTTAAACAGTTTATCTACTGAATTCTACAAAGATAATTATAATGCATAAGAGGATTGAATGGCAGTTTATCGGAGCCAAATTATTAATGATGCGATCTCTTTCCGAACGTAATATCTCTTTTTCACACTTTTTAATAGCATATTACGTTTCCTACTGTGTTTTAATTTTTCTGAAACTAATATTTTAGTTTATGTTTTCCCATTTTAATAGTTATGCATCTACTCAAAACTAATTTATAAGTACTCCAAACAAAAGAAGATGCACTCCTTAGGCGATACTTAAAACTTATAAGTGTGAATTAAATTTTTTAAGAAAGTTATAAATATGACGATTTTTGTGAATATTCTAGATTGTTTTTTAACATCTCTCAACTTTTCGTGTTCTCTCTCTCTCTCTATATATATATATATATTTAATTTATACAATAGTATTAAATTAGTCAACTTTATATAAATTTTCCTCCATTTTTCAAAGAATATAAGAATTCCATGTATTAAAAAGTTTTGTATGTATGTTAGAAACTGTATTATCGCATAAATTTGTTTGTTCATGAATTTTGATTAGAATCATATTTATGAGAAATAATTAGAGGGCACGTGCGAAAGCAGTCCACATTAACTAAGTATCTCTTATTAATATGCTTAAAAATGTGGTGTTCAGCTGTTATGGGTTAAACCGTGGGCTTTTCATCTGGTAATTGGGCTGGGCCCAGTATTATGATAAGGAGGACCCAAATACATGTACTATATGAATTGAGGGATTTATGGTGAGTGATTGGAGGTTCAGTTTATTTTATTTTATTTTATTTTTCTAGTTGAAACAATTTAGTTTAAAAAACAAAAAAAAAATGCTAGCGAAATAGTAGGTAAACATACACAAAGACCACATAGATATAATTGTTAATGAAGCTGTTAATTAGAGCAAATTTGAGGGGGAAAGAAATAATGAGAGTTCCACACACATTATAAAACTATAATTTTGGATAGCTTAGAAGGTCAATTATAGTGTGATGTAAGACATTGGTCACACCAACAGCTTGATGAATAGAGAAAACAAACAAAATTTTCAATCACTAATAATTGTGTTTGAATGGAGTGCCGTGGAATCATCAAATTGTGTTTATGAGATGATCTTGAAATACTCCGAAATCTTTATTATAAGGTATTTTGATTTCTCTTAAATTTAATTTAATATATATATTTTTTAATTAACAATGAAACCTTATGATATAATTTATAATAATTGAGTGAACATAATAAATGTGAATATGTAATTTAAAGTTTTATTTTCAATTTGAAAAACATACTAAATAAAATTTAAGATAAAGTGAAATGAATTATAATAAGGACCAGAAAGTATTTCATAATCAAGGCTAAAACTTAGGGTTAAATAGTCAACTACTCAATTATGTTTCTTTCATCCTTCTTGAATAGTTGTTAAACTAACATTGTATGTACAAAAAAGTGAATTATTAAATTGGGATAGAAACTATATTTTTGTCAAGGTTATGATATATTTTATGCTCATTCAAAAAAGGACACGTATTTGTTTATATTTTTGGAGGTAGATAATTAGCATTATTAATAAAATGATGATTACATAGGTGCCTAATTTGGATAAATATTGATTGAGCTTAAGGAATAATGCAATGAACCCTCTCCAAATGGCTTAACTTGTAAGGAGGGATCATTCAGCACGTAACTTCACTCGTTCTCTTTTGACCGATGACAAATTTTAAACACAGACATATGAATTTTTTTAAAGTGATAACTAACTTTTTGTTATAACGAGTTCTAACATTCGTCACGCATTATGTTCATAAGTTGATGAAATGGAATTGGAAAAGAAACTTAATCAGACTTAAAATGGTATTGAAATGATATTGGATGTAATTCAGTTAGTCGTGGAAAAGAAACTTGGGGTATCATCATTTGTACGAAAAATTGGCGGATCTACCCAAAGCTTTATGTGTGTCGTCAATTCTATCTTATTCTTTTTTAGTTAGCTAATATTATCCTAAACTATCCAACCGTTAGCCGATTTTGTCCAATTTACTATTTTCCGTCTAAATTAACGGAATTCTATTTGTCTTAATTACAAAAATACCCTAATAAATTTAAAAATTTATAAAAAGAACCCAAAAATTACAAAAATTATAAAATAGTCTCTTTTCAGTTTTTATTTAAAATTTTCTTTTTTTTTAATTTCTTTTTACTATTTTTCATAACCATAAAAATATACTATATGATCTTTTAAATAAATAATTTATTTTTAAACACTACAGTACAAATTTATAGATATACATTTTGTAACTAATGATTGATTTACATAAACATATTAATTTTTTTAATAATATGGCTAGACAATAATGATATTATTCTTTTAATCCGTCTTTTTCAATTTAAAGAATAAGATTTTTTTGACTAAAACTAATTTTTTACAAAAAATAAAAACATTTAGCATAGATTAAAAAAATATATATTAGTACATTTTAATTTATTGCAAATTAATTAAACAGACTATAAATTATATTATCCAATTAAAAAAATTATTAAATTAAAATATAGGGTACTGTCTAGTGTTTAGGGTGTTAAGTTTCATGAGAGTAGATATAAGATTAATTGTCACCAAAGTATTTCTAACCGGGAGAGTGATTTTACCACGTTTAAGCGGGGTCCACTAAAGTTAAGAGGGTTGCATTGGATGGTTAGGTGATTTAAGATATGAGATGATTAAAACTGTGTTCGAGATTCGATTCTCACTGGAGAAATCTAATTTTTTTTTTAATGTAAAAAAAAAAGATGGAGTCCAATACTGGAGTAGTTTTTTTATTATTATTATTATTTTTTTAAAAAAAAAGACTTTCTGCTAAAGTTAGATATATTAATTCTCAAAATATTATCACAAAATGTTAAACCCTCGCAGTAATAAATATACATATTTTTTATAAAATATTTTGTACCATTTTTGTAAATGCCACGATACTATATTCTTGTGTTGGGCCAACGTAGAAATGAAATATGTTTTTTTTTTTTACTTTCTGTCTGTACTTGGCCTTTTAAAAAAAAATTATATTTTAGTTTTGATTTCTTTTTAAATTTTAAAATACAATCTAAAGTCAGTTGAATTATATTGTAATGCATTAAAGTATACCAATAGATTCTTTTTTAATCTATGCGAATTGTTTAATTTTTTTGTGAAAAATTAGTATTACTTAAATAATCTTATTCTTTAGATTGAAAAAAATAGATTAAAAAATAGTATCATTATTGTAAAACTATATTATTAAAAAATTAATATGCTTATGTAAATCAAACATGACATACAAATATGTAATTAAAAATTTGTACATTAAAGTTTAAAAATAAATATTTTTTTAAAAGATCATATAGTATATTTTTATAGTTACGAAAAATAGTAAAAAGAAATAAAAAACAGAAAATTTTAAATAAAAACTGAAAATACACTATTTTATAATTTTTATAAAATTTTGGGGTCATTTTTATAAATTTTTAAAACTATTAGGGTGTTTTTATAATTAAAACATATAAAGTTCTGTTAATTTAGACAGAAAATAGCAAATTGGACAAAATCGGCTAACGGTTGGATAATTTAGGGTAATATTGGCTAACCGAAAAAGAATAAAGTAGAATTGACGAAACATGTAAAACTTTAGATAAATCCACCAATATTCCATCATTTGTACACAAAGAAAGCCTAATAAAACAGGCATATGGGATTCTCTAAAATAACATAAAAGGAGGCTCTTAGTTTTTGTAAAGGAGGGCCATGATACAATTACAAGCAAATTCATGAGCAAAGTAAACCTACTTACACAAGTACAAGTATGTAAGGCAGAAAAGAAATAAATGCATATTCAAATGAAAAACAGTTACCTTTGTGGAGAACTTTTGAATGTGATCTGATTGCTATATAGAATTGGAGATGAATGAATTAGAAAAACTCTGCAGTTACATGTTCATTACTTAATAATTTGACTTTAAAACTCTTTGTAAAGAAAAGCTAACATTTCTCAATGATGCAGTTTTTGGATCCTAGAGCTGATTATCAAACTTAATTAATTCAAAAGAAAATAAATCCCCTTTATTCCCACATTGACATCATTCTTGAAGGTTTAAAGCAACAGTTAAAGAGTTATTCAATTCTGCTATGATCATACCAATTTCACCATACCCATAATTATATGTGCTATAATGATGCTTGGACAATACGAAAGCTAAAGGAATCCCCAATAAAAAATACTCTAGAGAATGAATGGACAAAATTAGCTCCACAGTAGAAACTCCACTTACTACAATTGAACAAATAAGGATCAGATTAAAAGTCATTGACCAAAAACTCATTCAAGCTTTTCTTACCGAAAATTGAAGACACAAAAGACTTTGTTATCACAATGGAAAGTTGGCAAAAATCTTACGCATATATGCATTCTTACCAAAAGACTTTGTTATCACAATAAAGCGTTTTACCAAATCCTTGGTCAATCGAAAAAAATAATAAAAATAATAATGTTGAAAACAAAATAGATTTAGCGAATGAGGGAACGAAAATAGATACGGAGGGGGAAACCTAATTTTGTTGGCCTTGTTCCCAAAAAAGAGAGATTTTTGATAAATTGAATTCCGCACAAGAAAAGACGAGGAGGAAGAAAATAGGAGCAAGCAATGTCCGTATTAGGGGAAAGGAGGATTTGGGGTTTTTCTTCAACAACATATATCTGAACGGTGTCTTTTTGTACGGCAACTTTTTTTGCCAAAAGAAAAAATGATGAAAAAATTGTATTTTGCAATGACATTTTTAATCCCGATTAATAATGTGACCATCAAACATTTTTTGCCAAAAGAAAAAATGATGAAAAAATTGTATTTTGCAATGACATTTTTAATCCCGATTAATAATGTGACCATCAAACAAAATTAGGCCGTTAGATTAAAATCACTCTGTAACGCCATAACTGCTAAGTCTAACCCAATAACTATTTGGGTAATCGTACTCACTAGATCCAAAAGGGTTAACCCAAGTTACCAGTAAACCAGAAGCTTAACTTATATACTGAACATTATCTTCATCCATTCCCGATGTGGGACTTTTTGTTTCACATGCTAGCTTGGGGGATATCACACACAACCAGTAGGATCGCTCAGTTAGAGCTCAAATTCTAAACTTAAGAAACGTTTACTTTACCTTTTAGATAAAGGAGGTTCAAGCCTTATAATTAAATCGTTATATTTTAGAGATACATCATCCATATAACATTAAGATCAATCAATAACTATAGTTACAAGTCACCAAATCATTGTGCTGTAAAAGATACGAGATAATTTGACATAAATTTTGCTTCTCGAAACTCATAATGCAATTCAGCGTCCCCCTCCTAATTCATGGTGATTCGACAAATTTTAAATAATTGATACTTATCATATTGTTTTGATTGTCAAAGTCGTAACAATATTAATCACTAGTTTTCGAGTGTTTTGGCCAAAAAAATTCCTAAAAAAAATGTGGATAAAAATAATTTTTTCTATTTAGATGGATAAATCTAGTTATGTTGAATTTGTCAAATCCGAATCTACTCATTTATTACTACTCAATAGAAATGATGTATCGGATAGTTGTATTATAAGAAGATTTGGATTCGCCAAATCCGAATCTATGTAATTTTAAATTTGATAAATTTGAGATAATTAGATTTATCCACACCATTTCAGGACATTCATTTTTGTCCAGATCCTTAGTTTTTTACAAACTCACTCAACTCTTCGATCAAAATTTTTTTATTATTTGTAAGGTGGGGATAACAATTTGAGTTAGTACACGATATCACCTTTTCAATTGTTTTTTGGCCGACGGATTTTCTACCCAATTATGGTGTTCTTTTAAGCAACTTTGGCTGTTTCTTAAGTAAAGTGACCCCCCAAAACACAATTGAATGATCACACGTGAACAGTACTTTTCCTTTCGGCCCAAATGGCAATAACTAATATTTTGATGAGATGAGATCATATGAAAGTAGACGAATATTTTCGTGTAAATTACATTATCATTGTAATTCGAAATAACACTAAACCTCCCCGAGAAGAGTGCTTTTAGGGAGGGTTTGTAGAATTTGATTCATAAGTTTTTGAGTAGATTAAAACTTTCGAATCGTTTCTACCTAGCTCTGTCATTGGTTATGAAATGAAATACTCCCTTTATCCCAAAATTATTGTGCAGTTTAGATTTTCTATTTTTAGTATAATATAAACTACAAATGAAAACTCAAACTAGACAATAATTTTGGGACGGAGGGAGTATGAAACAAAATAAATATAAAATTTAATGAAAGAGTTAAACATAATATTGTTATAAGAAGGGGAAAGTGTAGTAGTAATAAACTATTAGGGCAGAGAACTGTAGATGGATTCAATTGTCGACATTCTTGGTTGCTTGTGGTATAGCTGCTAACTAGGATTCTGTGGCATGTGATCTCTTGATTCTTCCTAGAATCGAATAAAAAAAACTTCACTTTTATTAATGATTCAAAAAATTCAAAGGGATAATGTGACCGAAAGATGATTGTTTGTATGTCCACATTGATTTATCCCCACCTATGTTAAAGACCCTAACTTTTTATCCCTTTGAATTTTAGCGTTTTCTTTTGCATATTTATAGGTTAAGACGAAAAGAAAGAAATTTTACGACTCATTTTCTCCCCCTTTTTCTTCCTTGAGATGATTGTCATACACTAGATGCAAATTGCAAACATAACTAATGATTTCAGCCGTCCAAAAATATTCAATCCAAGATGATTGAGCATCTTCATGATTATGACTACTTCATTTTAAGTTTGCATCTTTGATGCGCATCACAGTTATTCTACTAGTCTTAAAAGAGAATCGTGCTTTTTCAATTTCAAACGTGCATCTTATTTGACAGAGATGAGTGATAACAATATATATATATGTATATAACGAAAGATCAAATTGCTCGATAAAATATATACCTACGTTTTTTGAAATTCGATGAGCTTGTTAAGTAATTGTTTCTACATATGTGGATAACTTTGGTGTAATCTTGTTGGTGTTTGATGAGCAAAGATGTTCTAGTGGTCATGATAGAATTATTGGAGAGACAATGAAGAGCATTGATGTATGAATATAAAGAAGTAGCTATGTTTGGATCGTTTTTTAGTGTGTGTCTTTAGGTGTTTTTTGTATTGAGAATATAAAAAGGTGTATTGAAAATATCAAAAAAGTATGTTGAGATGTGACAGTTAATATTTATTTATTTTGAAATTACCATAATAAAACAAACCAAACAATTGTAATTACTTTTATGTTGGTATCATAGTTGGTAGAATGGAAAAATTGAAAGACCTACCTTAGGATACTTTCTTGACTTCATCAAGTTATTATTATTAGGTAGTTGTTATCATCTAATACAGTAATAATCTTACTATTTTAGGATGAAAAAAAGAGAATAAGAAGATGGTGACCAAGTGTTGGGTATGCATAGAGGTTTGGTAATAGCTATTCGAGATCTCTAGCAAAGATTGTGGACCGTGAACTTGAACCATATACATCGCGGGTTCCTTAGCCGGGTTAACTGCTTCAACCCTGTAGCTATTATACAATTGGAAGTTCCGCCGTCAGATGTTAAACTATAATTATATCATCATATACCAACGTAATATAATCTTCTAGTTTTCTTAGGCTTCTATGCCTCCTTCATTGTATTAAGGGAAATTAATATCTGGTATCCTTAATTAAGATTAAGGGAAATTAAGATAATTCTCATTAAAAGTTGTGTGTCAAAACACAAAATAATAATAATAATTACACTGGGACCCTGTAGTTCTTTGAATTTAGATATAATGGTCCTTCATAGTTTTAATTTGATTCTTATTATTTTAAGGGCTGCGGGTATCCATCATTCTCCACCCGTCTATTTTCTATTCAATTCCTTGTTCTTCTGTTCATTATCTTTAGCTTTCTCTTTTATTGTTTGCTTCTGCGACTCGTTCAAGTAAACTTTGTTTCGTTTCATCTTTCTTGCTCTTTTGAGTGTTTCTTACCCTTTTTCCTTCCCTTCAAAACCCACCAAGAAAATAGCCCGGAAATTCGTTCCAAGAATCAAGGAACCGATCATGTCTTCCCCAAGCAAACGCCGGGAGATGGACTTGATGAAACTGTGATTTCTCTGATCAATCTCTGGATTCTTTTTTTTTTTTTTATTGGAAAATTTCCATCTAGTATTTTTTTTGTTGGATTGCTTGCTTATGATTTTTTTTTTTCCCTCTTCTTGGTTTTGATTTTTGAGTAGGATGATGAGTGATTATAAGGTGGATATGCTCAATGATGATATGCAGGAGTTCTATGTTCATTTCCATGGACCTAATGAAAGTAAACACTTTATCCGTTTCTCAACCCCTCTCTCTATGTCTATACATTTTGTTTATTTTATGGGTGTTTGCTGATATGCTTATCTTCATTGAATTCTTTTTATTTTTTATTTTTTGGTTATTCCTTACTCTATGATGTTGAATCTTGATTTAGCCTATAAGATGGATTGGACATCAGTGTGCGAAAGAGAGAAAATGTGTGGGTCTGTATCTAACCAAACAAAGACTGATGCCGTATGTATGTGGCTCTTCTGTTTGAGTATTCTGATAGTTGCAGCCTCTTATTTTCTTCCATTGTGGTTCCTCCACAATCTTGCACTCGGATGGTGTAGTCGAACTCATTAAGGCTTAAGCCTCTAAATTCTCTCTGCAATCGAATAAATAGACTTAGCATGAGAAAAGGATTTCTCGTTTTCTTATTCTGATTGGTTTGCTTCTCTGGAAAAGATGATACAACCAATGCACCGAGTAAGATCTCTCTACTAAGGGATAAGGAGCGAAGACCTTATTTTGTCCTCAGTCCTCTCCAGATTGAAACTATGATAACTCTTTCTGCTGTGTTCAAAATCACCCGATAAATTAACATTGCGTATGCTTTTGGTTGGCTTGCTGAGTTTCGGCTCTGGGGTTAGTGTTGATTAGGATAGTCACTCTGTAGATTTTAGCAAAAGCCAATGCAATTTGTTTTTATTTTTATTTATTTACTTTTGTGTGTGTGTGTGTGTAAAACACCGACATTCTTTTTGTGGAATTAGTGATGAATGTATTGATTTAGTAGGAATTTCTCTGCTCAGTGTTTGAGTGTGATGGGGGGTTTTTTTCTTTTTTCCTTTTTTATTTGCAAGTTTTTCCTTTTTTTCCTTTGATTCCTAACTTTTGGACCTCGTTTGTTTATTTGGGCAGGTCTCTATCATGGTGGTGTTTGGAAAATAAGGGTGGAGCTTCCGGATGCTTACCCCTATAAATCTCCATCTATAGGCTTTATTAATAAGATCTTCCACCCAAATGTGGATGAGATGTAAGTTTCTGGTTTCAATATGTTTTATAGCTCTCTGTTTGTTTCTCATGACATCTCAAACTGTGTTGATTTTGGAACTGTCAGGTCGGGGTCTGTTTGTTTAGATGTGATCAATCAGACATGGAGCCCCATGTTCGGTAATACAATTATTCCGTTGCTTTGATAGTTTGGTTTTCATTCAATTTTTACATTCCAAGAATTTAATATCTTTGTTTCTGTTTCAATGATTGACTAAAACATTCCAATGTGGACAAATGTGTTGCAGATCTCTTAAATGTGTTTGAAACTTTTCTTCCCCAACTTCTTTTATACCCAAACCCATCAGACCCATTGAATGGGGAGGCTGCTGCTTTGATGATGCGTGATCGAGCTGCTTATGAACAGAAAGTCAAAGGTAATTTGTTACTTTGATAAGACAAATTTCTTTGTATTTATTAATAGTGAGAAAATGGTAGCTCTTTACTTCATTTTTAGTCACAAGATTTTGCATTGTTCTATTCTATTTGTATAGCCTTTCAATTTGCAAATTTAATATTGCATGAGATTGGCATTGTAGTTTCTCTGTAATAATTTGCATCAAAAGCAGTTCTGCAATAATGAGGTTCAGTTTGTAACTTCAACACTCAAATGGGGTTTCACATTGTAGTTTCTTTGTAAGCATCTTCATCAGAAGCGGGACAACTGCAATAATTATGTTTTCTAATTCATTTTTTATTTTTTATTTTCTTTTTAATTTTTTTGGGTTACAACATGACATTCACAAGTGCCGTAATATGCTTGCTGAACCTGTACTCTTCACATAATATGCTTGCTGAACCGGTACTCTTCATGTTGGACCGTGTTTAAGTACGGCAACAAGGTTCTGCCAGGAATTTTATCCCACAAATCAGAAGCAACTTTACATATGGATTTGGAGTGGACAACTTATGTTTAGCTCTTAAATCTTAATTCTTTATTCAATTTGTGAAATTTAGTTTGCTGGAGGACATAACTACGCTGAAGAAAGAAAAGTGCCGAGCATAGATTTAGACTGTCACTGACATTAGAAATTTATTTCCTGTGTCTGCCAACAGTAGGTAAAGAGAGTAGGAATTGTAACTATGGATACAAGGAATGCTGATGATTTTAGATTTGGTGCAATGATTGATACGTTCAGAAGTTGTGTTAGGTGGCAGCGCAGTTGCCTTCCTGACTTGAATATTAAATCTAGTGTCGTGTCGACTTTTCATTGATTGATGCTTGCATATCAATGGTTTACATTTAACTACTTTTCTACTGAATATTTTGCATAAGCCTTTGAAGCCTTGTATGCAGTATCCCTTGTTTTTTGATCCCTTGTATTTTGATGTTCATATGTGCAACGCTTCTACTCTATTTTGTTTATCGAAAAATCCTTCGCAACAAACCCCATTTGTCATCCTCGATTGCTCAAAATTTTCTTTGGGACATGAGTTTCTTCAGTCCCTTTACTGAATTGATCTTCCTCTAGTATGATGAACGTGCTCATTCTATACACTGTCTCAGAATACTGTCAAAAGTATGCGAAGCCAGAAGACATCGGAGCAGTACCTGAGGAGAAATCGAGTGACGATGAGGAACTCAGTGAAGATGAATATGATTCTAGTGATGAAGCTATTGCTGGCCCTGTGGATCCTTAGCCAGCATCTATTTCTAGTCGTTATCTTGTAAATTATTGTCTGTTCCTGCATATGTAAACTTAAATCTGATAGACTATTTATTGGGAAAGGGATTAGCATAAGTGCCAGAATCCCATCCCCCATCATTTATTCTCTTGTTGTAAATATATGCATTGTTAAACACATTCTCATGTTTATTCACTAAGTTTTTCTTATTGATTAGTAGCCTTGTCTCCTTGTCTGTGGACATCATGGTATCAAAATACTGTGAACATGCATTTCTAATTCTAGCTCATTGATCAGGCTTCAGTTCATGGTTTACTATATATGAACACATGACCCTCTGTCCTTTCAATCACAGCAGAGCATGTAACTGACAGTACAGACCACTGTTGAGGTCATCCCCGGGTACACTATGAACTAATATTTTGTCAAACCCAGAACCTTGTCACACAATATTAAGAATCATCCATGAAACTAGAACCAACAATAAGCGAACTGTATGGTTTGGAGTAAAGATGTCGAATGAGAACCAAAATAATTGTGCTTCATTCATAAGCTGAAGCATAACTACTTCGAATGAGAATAGAATCGCTTTTCGCAGTTGTTTTCTTCTCTACACTAAACACGGTGTTAGTTTACTACAATAGATGGCACAAGTAATATATCATACAAGGCGAAATGCCATAACCTCCTATATTAACAGGTATTACAACTCGCAAGGGCCATTTCTGCACAGCACCTCAGGCTTTACGTCAATGAATCTGTTTGCAAAAGCATACATACAAATCATAAATGGCTCGGACGTCTTTTTCCAGCATCCGTTCGCATCCTTTTTACCGGATTAGCCCAGCCAACGCTCCCGCCACTTCCGTTGACCTGCTGAGGTGATTGGTTATTATTCCGAGCCTGCTGCTGAGTAACCTGTTGATTCAGTCTCCCGTCTTTTGCAACTGAAGAAGGTCCGGCAGGACTTCTCATACCTCGACTAATACCGGTAGGCGATATAGGACCAGCTGACCCACTACCTGGTCTTAACCCCAACTTTTCCCTGTCCTTTCTCTTCTTTTTGCAGATAACAAGCTCCCCTGGATGAGGGAATGGACGTGTATCATCTTGTTGGGCAGTGGTATCACGGCTGCTGCTACTTCCTACCCTTGATTCCTTTTGAGACACATGAACCCTCGATTTTGTGTCTTCATGGATCATTCCACGGGTCTGTGGTTTCTGAGGGCGACTTGGCTCAGGTTCTGCAGCACTCAATGGTTTTTGGCGTTTATTTTGACCAGGAAGCACATGTTTTGAAGCTGACCCATACGCAGAGGATGATGGTGGGCTGTTGAAAAATAGAGAATTCCTGGCTTCTCGAAAATCAACATCTGGGAAGACTATCTTCAAGAGGTCAAAGAAAAGATCATGGACTTTTCTTGCTTCAGATCTCACCTGTCCCAAGTCAAATAAATTACTAAAACTTTCAGTTTAGCGATTGGAAAGGCCCAAATGCTTATAACGCTAATTGGAATGCTTCACGAAAAAGCGGGAATTAAGGGATGCCAGTGGAGAGCTAATGAAAAACTGATCTAGTGATTGCCCCAAAGAAGGAATTGATCTAGTTGAAGCCCTAAAAACTACAGCCAAAAGAGGGAGGGGTACTGATCACAACTCCATGAAACAATTTTCTTCTCAATAAAAAAAATCAGCATAATAACCTAAAAAAAGAAAATATAACATACCTCGTACGATAAACCATAAAATTGCATAGCACTTTTCAGCATAAGCTGCACATCGGATACGAATTCCATCACCCCGCCATACTCATAATTGTCAAGACGCATACCAATCTCAGATAAATCAAAAAGCTCATCCTCGGTTCCAGGAATGCAACCAGAACTTGCTATTCTCTTCCACAGATCAGTCAGCAGCGGAATTATCTGGGGACCTTCACGATCTATTCTCTTTCGGAGCTTGCTAATTACATTCTTGCACTGCAAAAGATGGAACAATCACTCACACACAAACAAAGAAAAATAATGGATGACGCACTATTTATGACTTTTCTGATGGCGTGAAGTATTTCAAAAATACTTAAATATTGATTAGCATCATAGCATGATCTATACATTTGAGTTTGCAACTGAGTAGCATCGAACAATAATAAGTAGGGAATTACTATTGTAGAATGCTGAAACTTGTAATTGGTTTAGTAAGTGTTACTCTTTATGTGTGTTCCCTCATCCTACTTATCTTAATTAGTACCAAACAAAAAATAAATAAGTAGGATAGGAATCTACAACACTGTTCTACTACACACAGATGCAGATACAGCTACCAACATCATATACTAGATAAACAGGTCTCGTTGAACCATCCAATCAAAGGTAAAATAAAAACGATTTGAACTGTAAAAGAGCTTAAGAACACAAACCAAAAAGCATAAGGCCTACCAGGTTATACTGGTAACAGCGCTATTTTAGATACAAATAAATTCCAAACAGTGACAGATATAGACTTGATATCCATAGAAGGTGCGAAATCAGTCTCCCATCACTGGCTACCACAAATCTACTTAAAAAATATTTGTATGACTGCAATTTGCAACAATGTGGTCCCTGGTGGGAGCGTCGGGAAGGGTGTAATGTTATTACCACGAGGTCGGGAATTTAAAACCTCGTTGGGGCAGGCAATCCAATTTAAAATCATATAATGGTAAAAAAGAATGCATAAATCACCTTTTTTCAAGAAAAAAAAAAGTGGATGTAAACAAGCCAGTAAAAAGACTAGTGGTAATACGGAAAAGGGGCCAAACATACACACCTTTTTCTGAATGACCTCATTCATTCTAGAACCACCACTTGACCTCCCACCAACATGTACGACCTTAGTGTCAGAGTTTTCCCTCGAGGTCTGAATAGACTCATCTGAATGAACAACTCTGCCAGATTTTAGGGAACCCCCCACCTTGGCTGTGTTCGGTAATTTCCGCAGGTTCATATTCCGTCTGTTCTTCATAGATGAATCAACTTGCTCCTGTTTCAACATCACAGGCTCTCCGGGCATTTTTCGTCCCCGATCATTCCTGAGTTGAGGCTCGTATTTTTGGTCAACCAGAGATGATAGAACGAGAGAATCTCCACGGCGAAGAGAGGGCTTCTCATCCGATCTCTCTGTGACATGACGTGGTCGAAGCCTTATACTGCGTTTCCTTTTTGTTCTAGGTTGTAATACCTGCTCTTCTTCCCCCTCATCACGATCCTGGTTCCAACTACCAGACTGCTGGATGTCCATGGGGGAGTCTCCAGACACTGCAATTTCTCCTTCCTCTAGCTCATCTGCCTGATAAACAGAATTTCTTAAATGAGCATCATATTTAATCCAAAAAAAATAATAATAATAAAAAGATTGAGCATCAAAAAACTATCAACGTTGGTGTTCTAAACCCAAAAAGTGGGGAGAGTAAAGAAAAAATAAAAAGGAAAAATGATGAAACATACAAGCTTCTTAGAATGAGAGCTGGGCCTTGCATCTAATGCCGAAAGGGAACCAAACTTCTGAGAAGACAAAGAAGGAGACACCCTTCGCGTCGACCTTCGACCATCCAAGGAAGAACCAGATGAGCCAGCTTCTTCGTGCATTTGCGTATCTTTGGGGTTATTTAAAGGTCGAGAATATCCATATCCACCTGTTGGAGGAGCAATATCATCTTCGGACTGATCTTTATTAGTTTGAGGAGCTCCACCAGCACCGTTAAAGTCATCATCTTCAAATTCTCCAATTTCCCCTTCTTCCTCACGTGCAGAATCTACATTCCTCTCCTCCGAACTCGCTTCAGAGAATTCACCATCATCATCATCCAATTCTGTGTAAATAGGAACTTTTCTAGGCCGCCCCCTTTTCTTCTCCCCTTCTTCTTTTGTTTCAACAGCTATACCTTCTCCATACAGAGAGGTTTTTGATGGCTTTTTCGATAAATTAGCAATAGCAGCATTCACTTCCTTAGTATTTGCACGAAGCCACTTTGGAACCTGATCATATTTGGTCATTTCCTCTGCCCAGTCCAATTCTTCATCCATCTGATCAAAAAGCTCCACCTCTTCCTCGCTCCTAGCAATCATCCTGTTTACCTCCTGAAGAGATGGGACATCGTGGACTGTCTCTTGATATCGTTCTTCATCATGCAACAATGTCTCTAGTGTCATGCGACGCTCTTCATGTGTAGTCCTCTGATCGAAGCGCCCAGCATTTATAACTTCATCAGCCATATCAATCTTGTATTGCTGAATGTTATTACGAATCAGGCTTTCAATAGATCCCATATACCGGTCCTTACCAGCAAGGTCATCATCAGACTCTACTGTACCCCCATTTCGAAGTTCATCCTCTTTCTGATGGCTAGAAATCTTGTCGACAACTGCTTCCATGTAGATAACTTTCACTTCTCTTGTCTGCCCAATGCGATGGGCTCTTGCAACTGCCTGTTCTTCATTCTTTGGGTTTGGATCAGGATCATAAATGATCACTGTGTCAGCTGTCTGGAGATTCAGACCTCGTCCAGCAGCACGTATGCTAAGCAAGAAAATAAAGCAATCAGTGTTGGGCCTATTAAAGTCAACTATAGCGGATTCACGATCTTCTAAGCTAGTTGTTCCATCAATCCGTCTGTACACAAGTCGTCTCCACTGGAGATACTCCTCCAATATGTCTAAGAGCTTTGTCATGGTGCTGAAGAGCAATACTCGATGACCAGTTCTTTGGAGCTTTATTAAAATTCTATCCAGAATCCACAATTTTCCACATGATCTCACAAGAAAATCTTTTGACAAGTCACCATAGTAGGGATAGTTCAGCAATGGATGATTGCAAGCTTTCCGGAGCTCCATACATCTGTTATTCAATGGCTTGTAAGCTTTAACTTGGTAAATGGCATTCCTCTCAGCCTTGCGAATCTCATCTTCAGGATCGACTCGAATAGTACCCGTGGATTTTATCCAGTCATAGATAGCACTTTGAATTGCTGACATTCTACATCTCAGAACAATGGACACCTGCAATTCAACTGCCATAAGAAACGATCCCACAACTTGAAAATTGGACAGCAGAAAAGAACTAAGGAGCATACCTTGGGAGGAAGTGAGCCTTCTACATCTTCCACACGACGCCTGAGCATAAAAGGCTCCAGAATCTGGTGGAGACGGTGAATGATGATCACCTTCTTTTCTGTCTCAAGCCAGTCATCCTCGGCATTATGAGAAGGACCTTCTTTTTGGAAAGGTTGAGAGAACCAATCATGAAATGCTTTGCGGTTATCAAATACTTCAGGAAGCAGTAGATTCAAAAGCGACCAGAGTTCTTTAAGATCATTCTGCAGGAAAAGAAGGTGATGAAAATCCATATTCACATTAAACAATAAATGATTACCAAGGAAAGTAACGTGTTGAGCAAAACATAAACTTTAATTACCAGATAGTATTTATTTATCGACAAGAGCACACAAGCCAGAGTATGATGTAAACCTTAGGCTAACATATGATAATCACTCCCTTATAAACAGTAGTCTAATTGTATTCATCAAGCCCAAAAGTCTTGCCCCATAGAATTTAGAACTAGCAGTCGCTTGAAAAACAAATAAGAGAAAATGACCAGATTTATGCTTTAATTTACCTGCAAAGGTGTGCCCGTCAGAAGCAAGCGCCTTTGGCAGCGATACTTATCAAGATCACGAGCTAGAACTGATTCCCTGTCCTTCATTCGTTGAGCTTCATCAATAATGATGTACTTCCAATCGACCTTGGATAATTTGGAGCGGTCAAACATAATAAACTCGTAGGTCGTCACCAGCACATTAAATTTCATTGCTGACACTTCCTACATGACAATACAACATTCATAACTTCAAGGTTGAAGGACCAACAAAATGCAAATAAGCTAAAATGAGAAAAAAAAAAAAAAAAAGAAGCTGCCTTACTTGAGAAAATAACTTTGCCCGTTGTTCCTTTCCACCGACATAGTAGATACAGGACACAGATGGAAGCCAATTATGAAGTTCACTCTGAAAATTTAGCCAAGTTAGCCAACTCAAAAATTGATGTCTGAGGCATGGATGTAAAAGGTATAAACAGAACACCAACCTTCCAATTGACCAGAACAGCATTAGGCACTATAATCAGATGCGGGCCATAGTTCCCTTTAAACTCCATCAGGTACGCAATCAATGACATAACCTAGAGTAGGGCAAAGAAAAAACGCATATGCTGAGAGTCAAAATTGAACAAGGATGAAACACTTTTTCTTGCTGGAAAAAATAAAATTCACCTGGACTGTCTTCCCAAGACCCATTTCATCAGCCAAGATTCCATTTAATTTATTATTATACAAAGAAAGCATCCATTGCAAGCCAACCTGCAGTATTTGCAACGAACAATGGACTCAAACTGTGCTTCTTTGAAATCTGAAGGTGTTTTCTTTAACAGTCTGCGGCAAATCTAAGATACAAATTTTTTTTTGGCAATTACACATCTGAGAGACTGCAACTTACAAGCTGATAGTCGCGCAGGGTTCCTTTACGCAACATTGATGGTTGCCTAACAACCCTTTCATTCACAGCATGCGCAAGGTTATAATACCTGGCACCAAAGTAGGCGGGAAACATTAAGAAAGTGCAGAAGAACTATTCTTAATAAATTTACAACCACTGACAAAATCTGCAAACAAATGCTATTTACGTTTCTTGATGTATTCATCAAACACACAACAGTGGCATATCAAATAGAAACATAAACATATAGAGTGAGATATAGCACTTTCAAACTAATAACTTGTTAGAGAACTGAGAAAGAACTGATTCGTTATCCACATGTATCATGCGTAAATCAATTTGTTGTGCAAATAACTCACTTGTTAACCGACGAATTCTCTTTTGGTGCATTCATTTCAGAGAAACGATTCCGAATCATCACTTCCTCCCTGGCACAGGCAGCTGCAGATCTTACTTCTTCCTCAGAAAGACCCTTTTTGAAAGAGAAAGCAGGCATTAGTTACAACCATGACGCAAATTAAATTACATTGGTATAGCTAAAAAAGCTGTGGAGAAACTACAGATATCAACTCAATTAGCTTGGTGTGACACAATCTAACAAGCAAATGTCAGTCAATTAAAAAAGCTACAATTTTAAATTTCAATGCCTAGCACAAGAATGGAAATTTGAGAAGTCAGTTAAATCTAGTCCATCTCAGATGTTTCGGTCGAGTTATTTACAATCTTGTAGCAAACTGTTTTGCAGCTGCTTATTCTTCTAGAACTGGAAGAGATACGTAGTTATCATTCAGAACATCAAAACAAAAGCAGTAAATAACCACTTCTTTTGCCACTACTCCAAGAACATGGGAAACCCTGTTCTCCACATAACTTCCCTCTATTTAAACGCAGCCTTCCCATTTTTTTCTACCAACAACTAATAAGCTTCACAAAGTAATAAATTACGCAAAAAACTTTGTGCACATAATACACCAAAAGTAAAAAGAAAAGAAACTCGTCCAGATCCGTTTCTTTTTAGCTACAATTAGTTTCTACCCTGAACATTCTGATTTGCAAAGACAAGGCCTCAAAACTCTGAAAAACAGTATAATACCTGGGCCCGCGCAGCGGCTGCTGCTGCATTAGCCGCCTCCTCAACCTCTTGCTGATTTTTTGCAGCAGTAATTTTGTTTCCTAGTCTGTGAAGATACTCCTCTGTCTGTGACAAAAATGATGAAAGAACAGCGTATCTCTCAGCAGCTTCTCCGGGTATGCTCGTCTGCTGCTCGAGCAACATCTCCCGGTACCTTTCAACATCATTATTTTTCAAAGCCTCCATTCTCTTATTCCGATCGTCATCTTTTCTCTTTGAAAACTCTCTCAACATCCTTTCATGATACTTAGCAACTCCCCTATTACGTGCTGTTCTAGCATCACGAATTGCCCAATGCGTCTCAAGGAGTTTTTTACGCCACTGGAAAATAGATTTCAGTTGCTTTTCTCTCACAGCTTTCTGCGAAGCATGAACTTGCCTAGTCATTTCCTGTCGTTGACGCTCACAAAGCCTCACAAATTTCCGATACGGTCGCTCAGGCATTGCCATTATATCCTGCTGTTGTTGCTCAATCTCATCCCTCAACCGCGCCTGAACATCTGCTAGTTGAAGTTTTTTCTCTTCAATTTGCATGCGTACAATAAGGTCAGGCCTGATCCGTTTCCTCTCCAAGTTAACAGCTAGTATGTTACCAATCTTCCTGATGCTGTCCTGCCTCTTCCTTTTGAAAAATTCCACACCTTCCTCGGCAAGAAGGTCTTTAATATCATAGGCAAGGGCAAGATTGTTATTAGTGTTCATCATCAAAGCTGACCCAAAAGCATCATGTTTCCTAGTGAAGGCAGGGAAATCAAACAATGGCCCATGGTATTTTCTACTTGAACCCACATCTTTAGTTTGAGTGGAGTTTCCGTGCACAGTTTTTTTTGACAGCTCTGTCTCAGGAATATTTGGCTGGGCCGCAATAGCTTTACCTCTATCAGCTGAAATATCATTTCTACTAGCAACTTTCTGAGTGACATGTTCAACCTCTGACTCGCATTTAGTAGAAGGTCCAGAAGCTTGATGCTCGTCTTTCCGTAAAGGAACCATAGATGTAGGTTCCTTCTTGATTGCAGCCCTACTTTGTGCATTAGCAACAGAAGTAGCAACACTTTCATCAGCAACTTCCTTCTCCAACCTCTGCCGCTCATCACCAGGGCTTGCCAGCTGGCTGGATTTCTCGCCAGGCTCCGGAACACGCACTTCTATGTTTTTGCCAACAGATTTCTCCTGAATAGTTCCACTGGGCGGAGGGACCGGCTGAATCGGCATTTCAAGGGGAGGTGGTGCTATAGCTTGAAGCAACTCTCTAGGCAATGTTGCATCTCCTTTCTGTAGCCAAGTGGGGGAAAAAAAATTTAGAAAAACAGCAAATAAAGCTCACCAAACATTTTCCACGTGCTAGAGAAAGAAGAAAAAAGTGTATAGATGTGCATGCCAAGCCACAAACCTTGATACGTCTAAAAGCTAGTATTTGTGCTTTTAAAACATGCAATTGTTGCTTCGTGAAGCCCTGATGTTGCTGCTGCACTGGGATCACATTTCCGCCCTGAGATGTTGAGGGATTTACCAAGGCCCCATCACTAGAAGATGCTGTTGACTGTGGAGAAGACAGACTCGGCTGCCTGACATATTGCATTTGACGAGACTCTGACCCAAGCTGGGTACTTTTGGCCCCTGCTGCATTTTCCACTCCTTGCTTCAAATTCAGAGATGCCTGTGGTGGAGGCATAGGTGGCATTCCATTGCCTATGACAATGCCCTGTCTCGAAGCCAACTGATTGTCTCTACCATGAGGAGAAAACTGCTGCATTGGGACACTACCAGCATTGCTAAGCATAGCCGAATTTGGAGATGCAATAGTAGGAGCAGATGTCGAAGGATATCTAGATTTTGCTGTATTAGACTGTGCCAATGCATCACTTGAGGCATTCCCTCTGGGAGAACTTTCATTTGGCCCCATTGCGGGACTAACAGGCTGCTTTTGCACATGAGCATTTAGTGCCTGCAGGGATGTGCTGTTTTCATTTCCTCGCTGCTGAGAAGCCAATTTGTATTGCATTAATTGAGCTACCATATTCGCATTTGCAGGTAATGAAAGGTCAATATTATGCTCAAGAGCAAACGCCTGCATTTGTGAAGCCAAAGCAATAGGATTGGCTGTCATATTCTGAATATTGTGCTGAGCCTGTTGTGGTTGCATCATAGGCCTCACAGGAAATGCTTGGCCAATTAATGTTGGTTGAGTAGAGGGCTCTGCATCAGTTCTGTGATCAGGCATATGCCGTTGACCATGATCTGACTGGGACTCACTGCGAGTCAAATTCTCTGTCGATTTCTTTGATGATGATGCTTGTGACTGATTAGCAGCCGGAACTTTCATAGATCCCATTCGCAGATCTTCCTTGTTTGGAGGACTGAATATACCAGGTTTCATTTGAGGTTGTGACTGTGTTCCGGCAGCTGATTTCTGCTGCGCCGCCTGAAAAGCATTTATGTATGCCTGATGCATTGGATTCAGTAATTGTTGCTCAAAGCCCTGACTCCTACCTTGTCCATCCTCTCTGACACCAGAAGGAACTTGCTGTTGACCAAAATCCAAATATTTTCTCTGCTGCTGAGACAACAGCAAGGAGCCTGAAGGTGCATTAAAATTACCCATCCCAATGACGTCATGTGTAGGAGCACTTTGGTAGGCTAAAACTGAGTCATTTCCTTCAGATCTTCTAAGAAATTGCTGTTGCAATGTCTGTATACAAAAACACAAAGATCAAAAACATAATTTTTAACAGGTTATGATTCAGATGCTAAAGGTACAGAACAAGTGCCCTCTTCTCCCCCCAGCTTTTTCAGATATAAACTCAACACCATTATAGTTCACTACAGCACTGGGACATAAAAAGAGTTAAAGAGAGGCAGAGCCTCTTTTCTGCAACTGAAAAAAACAAAAAGGAAATTTTGTGCACTGAGCTTGTACATAACAATAAAGCCAAAAACGAGATGGCAAATGGATATTAGGCACCCCAAACAGAACCTTGCCCATTTTCATCAAAAGAACACAGAGAAGAATTCCAATTACCATTAAAAAAAACATGCATAAAAAGAGTAAAATTTAGACCAACCAAAAAATATAGACGACTAAAAAGATGGAGACAGAATTGCGGCAAAGATATTACCACTAGATCTTCATGAGATGATCACAAGAATTTTGACATAAACCACAGACAAATATCCTCGAAACGATATTCAATGGGGTTGTAAGGAAACCAAATAATTACATATCAGATGATGTTAAAAGCAGCAATTCTATTTCATCTTCTCTACTCACTGGTGTCACCTACATCTTCACACAGTTCATCTAAATTCGATTTCCAGGACTTTCAAAGAGGATAAGAGCTTCGTTCCCATGAATTATAGATCAAACAAACTCATCCTTTGTTGCAATTCCTTACGTATGCAATTTTGTCATTTTTTGACATCATTTCATTTAGAAGATTATTTTAGGGGATCTATAGGAGCTAAAATCCGAAATCTTACAACTGCTATAAGTGGTGGCTCAAAATGGAATCTCAATCTACACCGCAAAAACAAAACAGGGAAAAATGATTGTCAAAACAGATTACTTCAAAGTGCCGAAAGTTTCAACACTGAAATATCCGTGAGCCGACATACACTAGCATCATAGGTTTTATAAGGCCCACATAAACCCTTATTTTTTGTACCTATTTTCATGCATAGAAAATTGCATTAACTTCCACCATTTCTTCCACAGTTAGCAATCACAACCATTCCTCTCAAAGAAATAGAACCACTTAAACAGTCCATGGGAGAACCCATTAAATGGATGCAAATCCAAATACCAATGCAAGGAAATCAAGCATCAAAAATAAATAAATAAAAAGAAATATTGTTCTCAAGAGTAGGTTCAGAGTTTACGAAAAGGAGATATAACTGCTGCTCGAAACTTCAATCTAGGGATATAAACAAATATCCCTAAACCTTCATTCTCAATATCAATGGCACATCAACTCAGAAACTTAAACAAATTCTCCATAGCAAGTCAATCGCATAGGAACACAAAACACCAACACTTAAAGCAACAACAGGAATAGCTCAAATTTCCTTAAACAAAATCAAAGATTATTCCTCCACCACACCACTCAGAATGAAGGTTAATCCCTTTTTACAAATTACTTACTGAAAAGTCAATTTTCTTTTTTTTTTAAAAAAAAAAAAGGAACTCGTCAACAAATTTAGCAATAAACAGGAACCCACCTAATAAGCATAACCCCCATTGCACAAATGGTACTCAATAAAAATATAAAATTTTAGCTAATACAGAGTGAAAGAACACAGTGCTAAAGCAGGTAAATGCAGGTAAAACCCTAACCTGTCTTTGGTGCTGGTGCTGCTGCTGCTGCTGCTGCTGCTGCTGATCAAGTCCCAGCTGAGGAGCGGAGACACCAGATGATGAGGAAGCCGGCGAGGCAGCCGCACTCCGGCCATGCCCACTGCCCTGCTGGGCCCCACCTCCGGATTGCATGCAGAAATTTCGAAAACTTGTATCCCAAATTCCAAAAAATTCAATGAGAAATCCCTAACAAATTTTCCATCAAACACCCATTCCAAAAAAGAAAAATTAAAGAGCCCAATCAAAACCCTCCACTAAAAACTCCAAGCGCGGGATTTTTTAAAAAGAGATTAAAGATTGGAAGGGGAAAAAAAGGAGAATAAAAATCCGCTGTCGTTTAAGCGCCTCCCTTTTTTCTCGAGCCCGATCCCAACGTTAAAATTGACGTACCCCCCTCTGTCCCACCAAAGGATTGGTTTAGATACAAAATGCCTTATAAATCTCCCCTAAACCCCCTTCTTTTTTTCCCCAATTAAAAAAAAAAAATCAAATTTATGCCTCCAAATAATAAATAATTATCGGTGAAAAATTTGCTGCGAAGTGAAGAAGATAGAGGAGGTTGGGTAGGAAGGGGAGATTTGGTGGCACGGGAATTGTGGGCCCCGTGACAGATCGATCTTGCAGCCGGCGAGAGCTTCCGATGTTGCCGGAATGGACTGATTTGACACGCACTCACACACACACACACAGTCACTCACTGATTTTTCTCTCTGTCTCTCTCTCTCTCTTCAATTTTCACACGCAATATACTCTTTTTTTGGCCGCAGAGAGAGCCCTAATTCTGTGATACGACGAAAATACTTTTCTTCTGGTTTTATAGAGGGACGGTAAAAAAATTAATGTTATGGCTGTAATTTAGAGAAACGTGAAAATTTAGGGGTTTATATACAAAATAAAGAAAGTTGAGGGATTTGCGACTAATTCTCTATTTTATTTTCTTTTTCGTCTTTTCTTTGACTACTTTCGCAGGATTTGTGTGCTGTACAATTTAACCGTGGTTAGGTTGAGTGAGAGGAAAATTTTTTAATTTAGTAGTTCAACCCCGGCAGAAATTGATATTTCGTAATGCGCCCATGTAACTTGAAATTTTGAACTGTATTAGCAAAATTCTTTTTCTTTTTTCCCCTTGTTACATTAGTTAGGGAAATACATGGAAAGTCATCAAGTGTTGCCTTAATATACCATATTTACCTTCTTCTTGCTGACTGATAATGTTAGATTTGGAAAAAGTTTTAAGATGATACAGTTGAAAAAACATGTGTGCAATGTTTTCTGTGACATAAATAGTTATTAGTGCTAATTGCCAAATGTTATTAATGTTGTTTAACTGTTACTTTTGTAAGAGTGAAAAAAATGTATGCGAATTTTGTTGAAAGTTGAGAATTATTTCATGCAATTTTAAAGATATTCAATAAGAAATTAACAAGATTTCGTGTGTCAAATTATCACACTTTCTGTTCTTTTGGTAAATTAAACAAACTCTGTTATATAAGAAATGTATATATTTTATAACCAACGAAATATATGTAGCACGAAATCCACTTATTGGTTTTTTACCATTCTTTAAATTAGTACACTTCCAAAGATAAATTTGTCTATAGATATTTTATTAACGATATTGATTTACGATATCAAAATATATATGGATCGGATGTGTAATATTAAAGTCGCAAAGGGGTCAAGTTTAAAATTTCTTTTAGATGGGTGAGCTGTCTTTTCTTACGTCAAAATCAAAACCGAATCACATGTTTTACCACATGACACTCAAAATCTGATCACACTTTTTACTCGTTGTAATTGAGGTGTTAATCCTCGATATAAAATGGGGAAAAAGAGTATTTAATTAAGGTAATGTGTTTAGTTGGAGAAAGTTTTGGACATAAAATGGAAGTAAAAGTATAAGAAGAAAATACTTCATGTTACAAGTCAAAACAGAGGAAAAATACACATCTTTTAGCAGTATTTTCTGCTATGGAAAAACGATCTATAATGCAAATATGACAGAACATTAATCAACTGAAACTGGTTGCATATTCTCAGCTTCTTTCCTGAGCTCTTGAAACAGGACAGATGAAAGATAACGCTCTCCAAAACTTGGATGCACAGTCTGCAGATGAAATTCAATTACATTCTTGTATTCGGATAAATTTTTCGAACCCTTAATCTCGCGGTTGCAATTAATACGGTAAAGTAAAAGGAAACTTCTTGTACGTACCACAATGAGTTTGCCCTTGTTTTCTGGTTTTTGGGCTAGTCTCATTGCTGCAACAGTGTTTGCACCTGATGATATCCCAACCTACATTGACCACATTTCCATCAAATCATGTCAATGCCACCAAAATAAGCCCATCATAACTCAGATTCAACACAAATTTACACAAAAAAAAAGAAAGAAACAGTTTTATGTATTGGGATTGTTACATAAAGCCCTTCCTTCAAGGCCAATTGTCTCGCCATGTTTACCGCTTCATCACTAGATACCTGCAACAAATGAAACAGCACTTCTTGAGACTTGGACTGAATAATGTTAGGTCCAAAGATGAGGATGTTAGGCCTTACCATAAGAACCTCTTCCATTACATCCATGTCGAGGATGTCGGGTTTGAATCCAACGCCATTTCCAGTGATATGATGTGGACCTGTATGCATGATTGATGAAGAAATCTGATAAGTGATATCATCATAACATTTTGTCAACTGCTAATGAACTGAAAAGATTATGAAAGGTACCTGGTTTGCCTCCATTCAATACATTGCTTTCAGTAGGCTCAATACCATAGATCTATCAGAAGCGCGAAATCATAATTTAGGATTGATTTTTCCAAACAAATAACAATCACAACCCAATGATCATTTCTGTTTATTACATGGTTCAGGTTTTGCTTACCTTTACATCAGGATTTTGGGACTTGAGATACTGCCCAACTCCAGTGACAGTTCCTCCACTTCCAATTCCCATGACAAAAATGTCAACTTTACCATTAGTATCTTCCCATATTTCAGGACCAGTTGTCTCAAAGTGAACCTGTTTCAATTAAGGAATAAGTACAACAGACAATCTGAATGTATCTGCAAACAACAAAGTAGACATTTACGGGAAACAAACAACACAACAAGACGGAAAATGCAATTAACATGGTGTAAATAGACCTTGGTGTTGGCAGGGTTAGAGAACTGCTGAAGCATGAAGGCATCTGGTGTGTTCTCCAACAAATCATATGCTTTCTTGACGGTTCCACCCATTCCTTTGGTTGGGTCAGTTAAGACTAAATCGGCTCCGAATGCTCTCATAGTCACCCTTCTCTCCAAGCTTGTGTAAGAGGGCATGGTAAGAACCATCTTGTATCCTTTCATGGCTGCCATAAAGGCCATACTAATCCCCATATTTCCTGATGTGGGCTCAATCAATGTTGTCTGAATACCATGATCAACATCCAAAACATCAGAATTCATGTACAAATTATGAACAAAAATCAAACTGTTCCCCTAATTCACTTGCCTTTCCAGGTGAGATCAGACCTTTCTCTTCAGCATCATTGATCATGGCCAAAGCTGGTCTGAAACATAACAACCAAAGTCAAGATTTAGCATTTAGGACATCTTAGCTTTTGTCCTGTCACAATGTGGGATCAGTTATGTGGATCATATCGTCGCCAAAACACGAGTATTCATTAAACCTGTAATGAGTTTTTGATTTCTTAATCACTTTAATTAGTCACAAGCTGGCAAGCAAAATCACCTGTCTTTGATACTGGCAGTTGGCTGCATCATTTCCTGTTTCACAGCTATAAAAGCTCCACATCCTTCTGTAACTTTATTGAGATAAACAAGTGGTGTTCTTCCAATCAACTGAAATGAATGAACTTGCATTAGTCAATACCTTATTCAAACCATGGCCAGTTGAAAAGTTTCAAGCTGAACACATAGTCCTTGCTTAACTATATGCATTACGCAAATCGTAGGAGTTTAATTGTACAATTGTACGGATTTTTATATTAGAGAAATGAAGCTTAAAATAGGGAAAACGTTGGGGGAAAAAATTGAGAGGACCAAGAAAAGGAAGAAAAAAAAAAGTACTACTACTCATGAGGCGTTTTTTGTCCTGGACTGCTCTGTTTTTAACTAAAACCACGTGATCATGATTCATGTGGTGATGAAATAAATGAAACTTAACGCTAGATTTTCTCTATTTCCATTGGTTTCCGCTTTTCTACTTGTTCCTGACATTTTGCTTCCAAATTAAACTGACATATCATCAGAGCAGAAAGACAGAAATGGAGTCCTGGAGAATTATAAAAAGTAAAAAAAAAAAAAAAAACTCTCAGAAAACCATGTTGTTAAGATTGGCCAAGACTGAAGAGCAATCAGAATCACCAAAATTCTCCCTGGATGGAATTCCAAAAGTTGAAGACTAATTACAAATGGGTTGGAGAGAAATGAAAATGATGAATTGATGACCTCTCTGTCAGCTTACTTACTTCAACAGGGTAAATTCTGCTAAAAAAAATCCGGGAATGTAATGAACAAATAAATGGGACTCTGAAATTGTCACCTCAGCAATCAAAATGGTATTAAAATCAGCACCCAAAAGCAAAAAAAAAAAAAAACAATTACATACCTGGGAAACTTCTCTTTTGATGCTAGTAGCAGGGAAAGATGAAGAAGCAGCATGATGATCAGCCAAAGGTTGAGCAGAGAACAATCTGCTACTACTACTGATGAGATAATTCAGACAAGTTGGGCCTGATTTCCTGCTGATGAGTTTTGTCAAAGCGGCCATTGTTGAATTGTTGGTGAACTAATCAAATTAAGCTAAAGCTAGATAAGCCGCCAACTATGTTTGGCAAGAGACCAAAGAAATGGAAGTGATTTATTTGCCTCTCAACAGTATGGGATATAATAAATATTGGCCTCTTTTTTATAGCTGCAATTCTTGTAATAATGTGTGTTGTACTATTATTACACTAGCTATATTCGTCTGCAGCCACACTCATGGTACTTTCTGTGAGCTCTCTCTTTTTCCTATAATTTTTTTCTTCCAATGATAATCACATGCTATTAGAGATTATTCTCTATTCTGTATAGTGTAAACCATTTTTTGTTATCAAAAGGTAATATGAATGCTTGTCTTTTTGCCCGGGAGAGTGGAGACTATGATGGTAATTATTTACTTACAGGAACTGTGGAGGTTGTTTCATTAATTTATTTGCTATTACCGCTCAGGCCAAATCAGTGCCATTCATTGAGTTTGATCAAATGAAAGGCTGCCTGAAATGACAGATCATGTTTAATAAATAAATAAAATAAATAAGGGAAAAGGAGATTAGAACATTATTGTCATATAGACTTTTATTCAAGTGAAATTTTATCTTGTTCTGTTTGAAATAAAAATAGTTCATCATGACTCATGAGAATATTTTGAGAATATATGTGGTAATTTAAAATGACAAAAATTTCATTTGGAAAGTTTAAAACTAACACATGCCCGATTTGTGTAAGAATAGCACTAAAAGTGAAAATAAAAATTATATTTTTTGTTGTAGATGTTTAATTGGTAATAGTATCATAATTGAGTAGTTATAGTATGCATTATATATGCATTAGCAATTACACTGCATCAATTGCATTTTATTTGACCTTATTAATAGTAGTGAAAGTAAAATTAAAAAAATGAAATAAAATGCATTTAGATATGATTTTTATCGTAGAACGTATGATTATAATTTCTGATATGATAACTAAAACCCACAATGTGATTTATTGAAGGTTGAATTATAGTACGATATGTTCATATGTTCTATGCATTAAACCCTTGGGGTTATTTATTTTGGAAGGAAAAAACAAAAAACTTACAATAAAATTTTGCAGTGTATTCTACAAATGATAAATTTAAGGCTTTAGAGATGATTTGATTTCTAGGAGTCAAGGCCCTTGTCAAGTTTGCTAATTATATTTAGCATAAAAATATATTAATTTTGAAAAACTTATCATTTTTACGTAAGTAAATTCTGTGGGATGTCGGTTTTTGCTTTAATAACATCATTTGAGAATGACCCAAATATATAGTTCCTACAACATAGAAAAGGCTTGCGATCATTTTTAACATAATGGCTCCTAGTAGGAAGAAATTAGTAACTCCTAGTAGTACATTATTTATCATTATATTATGATTCCTAGTAGTGAGGCTATTGGCTACTTAGTAGTTCCTAATAGTAGACTAATGGTCATTTTCATGGTGATTTCTAATAGTAAGATTACTGACTACTAAACTGTGGCGGTTGTCAAATAATGAAATGAAACTGTAATACAGTTAGTGGTCCCTATATATCCAAATGTGACCCCAAAAGTCTAATAAAAATTGGATATCATATTCGGGCGGAATCAAAGTAGCTAAAATGGTGCATTTACAAGTGAAGGGAATATGTAAAAGTATAAAAACAGATGGTCTAATATTAGCCTTATATTTAACATATTTGAGGAAATCGATTTTCTTCGACATCGGGAAGGATTATAATCGAGCAAAACTCAACAAAGTCGGGATGTAACGAAGCATGGATCTGCACCGACGTCTCCAGTTGATTGAACCGGCGGCCATGGCTGTATCAAAACCCTAAAACCTGCAAAAGAGGGTCTTGGGATCTCCCGAGGGTAAACACTCTGATGCTTAAGTCAGTAAGAGTAATTGTAATACGGGTATCAATTGGGTGCATAAAGCGTACCTTTGATATGAGGGGTTCATCCCTAATATAGAGCTAGGGTTACCTGTTTGTGAAACCTTTTTCTTAGTGAGAAAGTAACTGGCAACCGCCCTAGAAGCTTCCAGGGGCCGGTTGGACCTTTCACCGAACTTGAGCCGGCCTAGTCGCAGGCCGTATCAATTTGGACTCGTCAAGCGCCCTTTATCAAGCTTATACTTCGAAGTCTGAAGATAGGGTGGGCTTGATAATATGAATTATAAATTCTCCACAAGTTCGGGAAGAACTGACTTGAATCAAGAACCCGCGACAAGTTAGCATCGAGGAGAAATCAAAGTAATAAAAGCATTAGCGCGTACCTTGTCGAATGTACGTGTCATAAAGGGCGATTAAGATTTATACCAATTTGTGAAGAAAGAAGGGTCATTGGTTCAAACTTTCGAGCGAGATGTCGATAGGTGATGATCTTAATAATTTGCCCCCTGGAGATACTAAGGCAGATGTCCTGTTGCTTGAGAAGATTATAAAGAAGTGTAGTGGAGATGTCCACTACTCGGAATATGAAGATGTGTTATCAATAACTTCAAAAGGTTCAACGACTGTTAGAATGAAGAATTTGGTCGAAAATTGCAATTCACGTCATTGACCCATACGTTAGTTGAGAAGGCATTGCATGATGACTTCCATGTTATGCTCAAGGGAAATATCAAAAAAGATGACCCGCTCATTATGAGAATTGAGAAAGAAACGTAGTGGAGATTCCCACTAGTCTCAAAATATGCACCATTAGTAGCGACTAAGATATATCAACCGTTGAAATGAGGAGTCTACTGGAGAATTATAACGTATGCTTCTGATCGAGAGGTAATAGATCCAAACCTCAAGAACAATCATAGAGTGGTGGATTGAGAAACATCATGAATGAAAACAGAATATTCCGTTGGTACTCAATGTCGAGAGCATAAGTTTGAGAAGGAACACTGTCTGGGATTGAACCGCACGTCGAGAACTTGCCCCAATGTGACCTTCTACTAAGAAATCTAGAGACTCGAGACTGACACCATAAGCATTCCGATTGTCGAGGAGAAACTAAAGAGAGTAGAAGATGCCGCATGTGGTTACGTCAATGCATGGACAGTGAGACTCAAGAAGATTCTCTCGAGTAGAACATCAGAAAGCACTCAAGAATTGTAACCATCTGACCTTGAAGAAGATACACAAGCATTTAAGCTTATTTATATCCGCCCAACCGACACGCTGGCCATTTCTCATGTCTAGAGAAATAAAGCATAGAACCCTTAGTCCGGTTTAAAGAGTATAAATCAGGTTGATGTATCGAACCCGAGTATATGTATAATATCGTTGCTCAAGACTCGAGCAAGAATCAAGGAGGTTTTATGCATTAGTGTAAGAAGAAACAATGCTCCAGTCTGACTATTAATTGAAGACCGTCAAGAAAAGTCATAGGAAGAGATCTGTAGACCCAAGATCATAAAAAAAATAATAAAAACACAACCTCCCAAACACCTTACACACCTTCCAGACACCTTACACACCTTCCAAACATCTTACAATCTCTCATATACAAACGTTCCTCGTTATAGATAACCTCGGAACCATTACTCATCTCGGAGCCCCAAATCTTGAGGTGACATTTGGAAGACCGAGACTTTTAGATGAGAGTGTAATTTCCGCTACTCAGTTCGAGGCCGAGTCTGATCAAGAAGCCCCCATACTCGTAGGGTTAAGATATTAAAGTGGCGTCTATCAGAAGGAGATGGATGGCAACCACCATAGTCAAAGAAATAGGCCTGTGTTGACAAGGCACAAAGTGAACTCGAGAACATCGAGAATAAAGTCATTTTCTTTTGATGCATTGGATGATATAATAGATCGATCCAAGAAAGTATACTCGGAAACGAGTCTAGTTCTCCTTGAGGTATAAAACACGTGTGTTTAGATTTGAGGGATAGTCCACCCCTTGTTCGTGAACATGGCAATCTAGGCTTTTCTCAATACCAGATCGAGTACACGGCTTATGAGTTATTTGTAAAACGCTTATAATGGCCGGATGTTAAGTACACAGCTCTTTTGTAGGTGATCCTAAAGAGGATACCTTTGTAAAGACGATTCTGAAGAGAATGTCTTGTCAAGGACGATCCTGAAGAGGACATCCGCAAGGAAGCTAGGTACGAGCTTCTCTAGTTTATACTGTTAGTCGTAACTGTTAAGGGTAGCATGACCCAATGAATGTCCGAATGTTGAATATACGACACTTTCGAGGATGGTCCTGAAAAGGATGTCCGTCTCGAAAACCGTCCTAAAGAGGATGTCCGTCTCGAGAATGATCCTAAAGAGGATGTCCGTTCAAATGACTAGTCGTGTTGAACTGGGTGTAACTGGGTATATATGATACACTAGCTCCCATGAGTACTCGAGTGGGGTACCACTATATGCATTAGACCGATGGTCTATATCTCGGGTTTAAAGTATAAACACCCTAAGGTTAGAGCGAACGTGGTGTTGCTACTATCCTCGAGGGATCAGTTGCGATAGATACATATCTCGGCGTATTTTGCCCCAGAGTTCTCGGGGTATGTCCATCCTGCAACTTAGTCCGAGACATGTATTGAAAGTATAATAATAACATGCTTATGTAAACAGTGTGAAACTCAACTAATGAGCACATGAAAACACTCAAGTGTAATATGTCGTTCTCCTTGATCAAAGATGCACACCCAAAGGCTCGTTCGAGCGTACCTTGGTTTAGAGGGAAGAATTCGTCCGAATCCTTTCAACATTAATTGTCTAGGATGTACTGTTCTGATGGTGATGCCTCTCGAGCACATGCACCATGATAAACCACCATAGTTCTCTTATCCTAACAAAATACCTACTCATGTACTCGTAGATTTATTAGTTGAGTAATAAATTATGGAAGCACGAGAAATGACATGGAATTCAATATAGTATTGGGGGAGTCTACCCTTTTAAAAAACAGTCATTTTGAGATACAAAATATATGGAGTGGAAAGATCTCATCACAACATGAGCAAGGCTATTGAAGCCATGTTTTGGTTAACTCACGACAGCCATGAAATAATTCTGCTGAGATCGTGCAACGCTTTTCTACGGATTTGTACTTACTACGGACCCCTGAAGAGTCATAGCGATTTGATATGGAACTGGACCATCGGACGTGAAAGCCATTGCAGCCTCGAGACAACAGCTGCAAGTTAGTTGTTCGGTAGAGTAGGTACAACGACCCATTGTGACTCATGGCTCAAGGAAAGGAAACCATCCTGCACTATGACCTTTAGAGTATATAACCAACAACTATAAGTATGAGAGG